ACAGGCGGGTGAGGGAAGTGACAGAGGGAGGTAGGAACTGAGGGAGGTAAGAAGGTTCACTGACAGGCGGGTGAGGGAAGTGACAGAGGGAGGTATGAACTGAGGGAGGTAAGAAGGTTCACTGACAGGCGGGTGAGGGAAGTGACAGAGGGACGTATGAACTGAGGGAGGTAAGAAGGTTCACTGACAGGCGGGTGAGGGAAGTGACAGAGGGAGGTATGAACTGAGGGAGGTAAGAAGGTTCACTGACAGGCGGGTGAGGGAAGTGACAGAGGGACGTATGAACTGAGGGAGGTAAGAAGGTTCACTGACAGGCGGGTGAGGGAAGTGACAGAGGGACGTATGAACTGAGGGAGGTAAGAAGGTTCACTGACAGGCGGGTGAGGGAAGTGACAGAGGGACGTATGAACTGAGGGAGGTAAGAAGGTTCACTGACAGGCGGGTGAGGGAAGTGACAGAGGGACGTATGAACTGAGGGAGGTAAGAAGGTTCACTGACAGGCGGGTGAGGGAAGTGACAGAGGGACGTATGAACTGAGGGAGGTAAGAAGGTTCACTGACAGGCGGGTGAGGGAAGTGACAGAGGGACGTATGAACTGAGGGAGGTAAGAAGGTTCACTGACAGGCGGGTGAGGGAAGTGACAGAGGGACGTATGAACTGAGGGAGGTAAGAAGGTTCACTGACAGGCGGGTGAGGGAAGTGACAGAGGGACGTATGAACTGAGGGAGGTAAGAAGGTTCACTGACAGGCGGGTGAGGGAAGTGACAGAGGGACGTATGAACTGAGGGAGGTAAGAAGGTTCACTGACAGGCGGGTGAGGGAAGTGACAGAGGGAGGTATGAACTGAGGGAGGTAAGAAGGTTCACTGACAGGCGGGTGAGGGAAGTGACAGAGGGAGGTATGAACTGAGGGAGGTAAGAAGGTTCACTGACAGGCGGGTGAGGGAAGTGACAGAGGGAGGTAGGAACTGAGGGAGGTAAGAAGGTTCACTGACAGGCGGGTGAGGGAAGTGACAGAGGGAGGTAGGAACTGAGGGAGGTAAGAAGGTTCACTGACAGGCGGGTGAGGGAAGTGACAGAGGGAGGTATGAACTGAGGGAGGTAAGAAGGTTCACTGACAGGCGGGTGAGGGAAGTGACAGAGGGAGGTAGGAACTGAGGGAGGTAAGAAGGTTCACTGACAGGCGGGTGAGGGAAGTGACAGAGGGAGGTATGAACTGAGGGAGGTAAGAAGGTTCACTGACAGGCGGGTGAGGGAAGTGACAGAGGGAGGTAGGAACTGAGGGAGGTAAGAAGGTTCACTGACAGGCGGGTGAGGGAAGTGACAGAGGGAGGTAGGAACTGAGGGAGGTAAGAAGGTTCACTGACAGGCGGGTGAGGGAAGTGACAGAGGGAGGTATGAACTGAGGGAGGTAAGAAGGTTCACTGACAGGCGGGTGAGGGAAGTGACAGAGGGAGGTAGGAACTGAGGGAGGTAAGAAGGTTCACTGACAGGCGGGTGAGGGAAGTGACAGAGGGAGGTATGAACTGAGGGAGGTAAGAAGGTTCACTGACAGGCGGGTGAGGGAAGTGACAGAGGGAGGTAGGAACTGAGGGAGGTAAGAAGGTTCACTGACAGGCGGGTGAGGGAAGTGACAGAGGGAGGTAGGAACTGAGGGAGGTAAGAAGGTTCACTGACAGGCGGGTGAGGGAAGTGACAGAGGGAGGTATGAACTGAGGGAGGTAAGAAGGTTCACTGACAGGCGGGTGAGGGAAGTGACAGAGGGAGGTATGAACTGAGGGAGGTAAGAAGGTTCACTGACAGGCGGGTGAGGGAAGTGACAGAGGGAGGTAGGAACTGAGGGAGGTAAGAAGGTTCACTGACAGGCGGGTGAGGGAAGTGACAGAGGGAGGTAGGAACTGAGGGAGGTAAGAAGGTTCACTGACAGGCGGGTGAGGGAAGTGACAGAGGGAGGTATGAACTGAGGGAGGTAAGAAGGTTCACTGACAGGCGGGTGAGGGAAGTGACAGAGGGAGGTAGGAACTGAGGGAGGTAAGAAGGTTCACTGACAGGCGGGTGAGGGAAGTGACAGAGGGAGGTATGAACTGAGGGAGGTAAGAAGGTTCACTGACAGGCGGGTGAGGGAAGTGACAGAGGGAGGTAGGAACTGAGGGAGGTAAGAAGGTTCACTGACAGGCGGGTGAGGGAAGTGACAGAGGGAGGTAGGAACTGAGGGAGGTAAGAAGGTTCACTGACAGGCGGGTGAGGGAAGTGACAGAGGGAGGTAGGAACTGAGGGAGGTAAGAAGGTTCACTGACAGGCGGGTGAGGGAAGTGACAGAGGGAGGTAGGAACTGAGGGAGGTAAGAAGGTTCACTGACAGGCGGGTGAGGGAAGTGACAGAGGGAGGTAGGAACTGAGGGAGGTAAGAAGGTTCACTGACAGGCGGGTGAGGGAAGTGACAGAGGGAGGTAGGAACTGAGGGAGGTAAGAAGGTTCACTGACAGGCGGGTGAGGGAAGTGACAGAGGGAGGTATGAACTGAGGGAGGTAAGAAGGTTCACTGACAGGCGGGTGAGGGAAGTGACAGAGGGAGGTAGGAACTGAGGGAGGTAAGAAGGTTCACTGACAGGCGGGTGAGGGAAGTGACAGAGGGAGGTAGGAACTGAGGGAGGTAAGAAGGTTCACTGACAGGCGGGTGAGGGAAGTGACAGAGGGAGGTAGGAACTGAGGGAGGTAAGAAGGTTCACTGACAGGCGGGTGAGGGAAGTGACAGAGGGAGGTAGGAACTGAGGGAGGTAAGAAGGTTCACTGACAGGCGGGTGAGGGAAGTGACAGAGGGAGGTAGGAACTGAGGGAGGTAAGAAGGTTCACTGACAGGCGGGTGAGGGAAGTGACAGAGGGAGGTAGGAACTGAGGGAGGTAAGAAGGTTCACTGACAGGCGGGTGAGGGAAGTGACAGAGGGAGGTAGGAACTGAGGGAGGTAAGAAGGTTCACTGACAGGCGGGTGAGGGAAGTGACAGAGGGAGGTAGGAACTGAGGGAGGTAAGAAGGTTCACTGACAGGCGGGTGAGGGAAGTGACAGAGGGAGGTAGGAACTGAGGGAGGTAAGAAGGTTCACTGACAGGCGGGTGAGGGAAGTGACAGAGGGAGGTAGGAACTGAGGGAGGTAAGAAGGTTCACTGACAGGCGGGTGAGGGAAGTGACAGAGGGAGGTAGGAACTGAGGGAGGTAAGAAGGTTCACTGACAGGCGGGTGAGGGAAGTGACAGAGGGAGGTAGGAACTGAGGGAGGTAAGAAGGTTCACTGACAGGCGGGTGAGGGAAGTGACAGAGGGAGGTAGGAACTGAGGGAGGTAAGAAGGTTCACTGACAGGCGGGTGAGGGAAGTGACAGAGGGAGGTATGAACTGAGGGAGGTAAGAAGGTTCACTGACAGGCGGGTGAGGGAAGTGACAGAGGGACGTATGAACTGAGGGAGGTAAGAAGGTTCACTGACAGGCGGGTGAGGGAAGTGACAGAGGGACGTATGAACTGAGGGAGGTAAGAAGGTTCACTGACAGGCGGGTGAGGGAAGTGACAGAGGGACGTATGAACTGAGGGAGGTAAGAAGGTTCACTGACAGGCGGGTGAGGGAAGTGACAGAGGGACGTATGAACTGAGGGAGGTAAGAAGGTTCACTGACAGGCGGGTGAGGGAAGTGACAGAGGGACGTATGAACTGAGGGAGGTAAGAAGGTTCACTGACAGGCGGGTGAGGGAAGTGACAGAGGGACGTATGAACTGAGGGAGGTAAGAAGGTTCACTGACAGGCGGGTGAGGGAAGTGACAGAGGGACGTATGAACTGAGGGAGGTAAGAAGGTTCACTGACAGGCGGGTGAGGGAAGTGACAGAGGGAGGTAGGAACTGAGGGAGGTAAGAAGGTTCACTGACAGGCGGGTGAGGGAAGTGACAGAGGGAGGTAGGAACTGAGGGAGGTAAGAAGGTTCACTGACAGGCGGGTGAGGGAAGTGACAGAGGGAGGTATGAACTGAGGGAGGTAAGAAGGTTCACTGACAGGCGGGTGAGGGAAGTGACAGAGGGACGTATGAACTGAGGGAGGTAAGAAGGTTCACTGACAGGCGGGTGAGGGAAGTGACAGAGGGAGGTATGAACTGAGGGAGGTAAGAAGGTTCACTGACAGGCGGGTGAGGGAAGTGACAGAGGGACGTATGAACTGAGGGAGGTAAGAAGGTTCACTGACAGGCGGGTGAGGGAAGTGACAGAGGGACGTATGAACTGAGGGAGGTAAGAAGGTTCACTGACAGGCGGGTGAGGGAAGTGACAGAGGGACGTATGAACTGAGGGAGGTAAGAAGGTTCACTGACAGGCGGGTGAGGGAAGTGACAGAGGGACGTATGAACTGAGGGAGGTAAGAAGGTTCACTGACAGGCGGGTGAGGGAAGTGACAGAGGGACGTATGAACTGAGGGAGGTAAGAAGGTTCACTGACAGGCGGGTGAGGGAAGTGACAGAGGGACGTATGAACTGAGGGAGGTAAGAAGGTTCACTGACAGGCGGGTGAGGGAAGTGACAGAGGGACGTATGAACTGAGGGAGGTAAGAAGGTTCACTGACAGGCGGGTGAGGGAAGTGACAGAGGGACGTATGAACTGAGGGAGGTAAGAAGGTTCACTGACAGGCGGGTGAGGGAAGTGACAGAGGGACGTATGAACTGAGGGAGGTAAGAAGGTTCACTGACAGGCGGGTGAGGGAAGTGACAGAGGGAGGTATGAACTGAGGGAGGTAAGAAGGTTCACTGACAGGCGGGTGAGGGAAGTGACAGAGGGACGTATGAACTGAGGGAGGTAAGAAGGTTCACTGACAGGCGGGCTAGGCATGTTATAAATCCTGCCAGTGGAGTGGAGTGGAGTGGAGTGGAGTGGACTGGAGTGGAGAGGAGTGGAGCGCTGAGGATGGCAGGCTTGGCATGTTAAAAATCCGTCATACTCCTGTCAGGGCGGCGGGAATGGTGGAGGTTGCAATACGTGAATGTAGCGGAGTGCAGAGGAGTGGAGAGGAGTGGAGCGCTGAGGACTGGCTGAACATATTATAAATCCCCTCCATACTCCTGGCAGTTTGGTGGGCGGGCAGGGGGAAGGGGAGAGGGGCAGCATGGGGGAAGGGGAGAGGGGCAGCATGGGGGAAGGGGAAAGGGGCAGCATGGGGGAAGGGGAGAGGGGCAGCATGGGGGAAGGGCCGATGAATGAAGGATGGAGTGTGAACCTTCCCAGCAACCTTCCCAGCAACCCTCCCAGCAACCCTCCCAGCAACCCTCCCAGCAATACTCTCAGCGACCCTCCCAGCAGTGCTGGGCTCACAGTGAGCCAGCCCTCCCAGCAACCCTCTATTTTCCTCCCCTCCCAGCACTGCTCACAATGTCAGCAGGCGGGAGAGCAACCTGGAAGGGCAAGGTTGGGCAAGGTGGGGCGAGGTGGGGCGAGGTGGGACGAGGTGGGCCAGACTAAAATTTTGAGTTCGCCGCCGGATGGCGAACTCAACTTTTTCTTTTCGGTCAGCCCCAGCAAACTTTGGCGAATCTCAACATTATACGCAGCGTACGAATTCCAGATGCGTATAAACTCAATGTGCAATTTCGAATCTGCGTTTTTTCCAACTTAGGGGCCAGTTAGTTGGTCTTGTTAGCACAACTAGAAATTAAGGAGGGAAAAGGCGCGTTGCTTATAAGGAGGGAAAAGGCGCGTTGCTTATAAGGAGGGAAAAGGCGCGTTGCTTGTAAGGAGGGAAAAGGCGCGTTGCTTATAAGGAGGGAAAAGGCGCGTTGCTTATAAGGAGGGAAAAGGCGCGTTGCTTATACGGAGGGAAAAGGCGCGTTGCTTATAAGGAGGGAAAAGGCGCGTTGCTTATACGGAGGGAAAAGGCGCGTTCCTTATAAGGAGGGAGAAGGCGCGTTGCTTTGCCTATAAAAGGCCAGCTGCTTACATACAGTACGCTTTCCTCACTGAAGATCAACAACACATAACGACTCAATTCCATCTCAAATGCCTACTTTCGCCCTCACAGCCCCGCACTCGCCCTCACAACCCGCACTCGCCCTCACAACCCGCACTCGCCCTCACAACCCGCACTCGCCCTCACAGCCCGCACTCGCCCTCACAGCCCGCACTCGCCCTCACAGCCCGCACTCGCCCTCACAGCCCGCACTCGCCCTCACAGCCCGCACTCGCCCTCACAGCCCGCACTCACCCTCACAGCCCGCACTCGCCCTCACAGCCCGCACTCGCCCTCACAGCCCGCACTCGCCCTCACAGCCCGCACTCGCCCTCACAGCCCGCACTCGCCCTCACAGCCCGCACTCGCCCTCACAGCCCGCACTCGCCCTCACAGCCCCGCACTCGCCCTCACAGCCCGCACTCGCCCTCACAGCCCGCACTCGCCCTCACAGCCCCGCACTCGCCCTCACAGCCCCGCACTCGCCCTCACAGCCCGCACTCGCCCTCACAACCCGCACTCGCCCTCACAACCCGCACTCGCCCTCACAACCCGCACTCGCCCTCACAGCCCGCACTCGCCCTCACAGCCCGCACTCGCCCTCACAGCCCGCACTCGCCCTCACAGGCCGCACTCGCCCTCACAGCCCGCACTCGCCCTCACAGCCCGCACTCACCCTCACAGCCCGCACTCGCCCTCACAGCCCGCACTCGCCCTCACAGCCCGCACTCGCCCTCACAGCCCGCACTCGCCCTCACAGCCCGCACTCGCCCTCACAGCCCGCACTCGCCCTCACAGCCCGCACTCGCCCTCACAGCCCCGCACTCGCCCTCACAGCCCGCACTCGCCCTCACAGCCCGCACTCGCCCTCACAGCCCCGCACTCGCCCTCACAGCCCGCACTCGCCCTCACAGCCCGCACTCGCCCTCACAGCCCGCACTCGCCCTCACAGCCCCGCACTCGCCCTCACAGCCCGCACTCGCCCTCACAGCCCGCACTCGCCCTCACAACCCGCACTCGCCCTCACAACCCCGCACTCGCCCCTCACAGCCCGCACTCGCCCTCACAGCCCGCACTCGCCCTCACAGCCCGCACTCACCCTCACAGCCCGCACTCGCCCTCACAGCCCGCACTCGCCCTCACAGCCCGCACTCGCCCTCACAGCCCGCACTCACCCTCACAGCCCGCACTCGCCCTCACAGCCCGCACTCGCCCTCACAGCCCCGCACTCGCCCTCACAGCCCGCACTCACCCTCACAGCCCGCACTCGCCCTCACAGCCCGCACTCGCCCTCACAGCCCGCACTCGCCCTCACAGCCCGCACTCGCCCTCACAGCCCGCACTCGCCCTCACAGCCCCGCACTCGCCCTCACAGCCCGCACTCGCCCTCACAGCCCCGCACTCGCCCTCACAGCCCCGCACTCGCCCTCACAGCCCGCACTCGCCCTCACAGCCCCGCACTCGCCCTCACAGCCCCGCACTCGCCCTCACAACCCGCACTCGCCCTCACAACCCGCACTCGCCCTCACAACCCGCACTCGCCCTCACAGCCCGCACTCGCCCTCACAGCCCGCACTCGCCCTCACAGCCCGCACTCGCCCTCACAGCCCGCACTCGCCCTCACAGCCCGCACTCACCCTCACAGCCCGCACTCGCCCTCACAGCCCGCACTCGCCCTCACAGCCCGCACTCGCCCTCACAGCCCGCACTCGCCCTCACAGCCCGCACTCGCCCTCACAGCCCCGCACTCGCCCTCACAGCCCGCACTCGCCCTCACAGCCCGCACTCGCCCTCACAGCCCGCACTCGCCCTCACAGCCCGCACTCGCCCTCACAGCCCGCACTCGCCCTCACAGCCCGCACTCGCCCTCACAGCCCGCACTCGCCCTCACAGCCCGCACTCGCCCTCACAGCCCCGCACTCGCCCTCACAGCCCCGCACTCGCCCTCACAGCCCGCACTCGCCCTCACAACCCGCACTCGCCCTCACAACCCGCACTCGCCCTCACAACCCGCACTCGCCCTCACAGCCCGCACTCGCCCTCACAGCCCGCACTCGCCCTCACAGCCCGCACTCGCTCTCACAACCCGCACTCGCCCTCACAACCCCGCACTCGCCCCTCACAGCCCGCACTCGCCCTCACAGCCCGCACTCGCCCTCACAGCCCGCACTCGCCCTCACAGCCCCGCACTCGCCCTCACAGCCCCGCACTCGCCCTCACAACCCGCACTCGCCCTCACAACCCCGCACTCGCCCCTCACAGCCCGCACTCGCCCTCACAGCCCCGCACTCGCCCTCACAGCCCCGCACTCGCCCTCACAGCAACGCACTCGCCCTCACAGCCCGCACTCGCCCTCACAGCCCGCACTCGCCCTCACAGCCCGCACTCGCCCTCACAGCCCGCACTCGCCCTCACAGCCCCGCACTCGCCCTCACAGCCTGGTCAGACGGCCCTGTGCTGCATCACATGAGATAATCCTTTAAGTTGCCTCACGAATAGGCAATGCCAAGTTGAATATTCACACTCGCACTCACACCCCTCGCTCTCACATCCTCACACTCGCACTCATATCCTCACACTCCCACTCATATCCTCACACTCCCACTCATATCCCCACACTCCCACTCATATCCCCACACTCCCCACACTCCCACTCACATCCCCACACTCCCACTCACATCCCCACACTCCCACTCACATCCCCACACTCCTACTCACATCCCCACACTCCCACTCACATCCCCACACTCCCACTCACATCCCCACACTCCCACTCATATCCCTACGTTCAAAACTCACATGCCGGTCAAAACTCACATGCCGGTCAAAACTCACATGCCGGTCACACGGCCCTGCACATCGCAGGAGATCATGATTCATGAGCAGGAAGCCCCCGCACAGCCCATGCCCCCCCCATCGGCAACTTACAAATCCTACCCCACAGTCAGTCACCACAACTTACATGCCAGTCACACGGCCCTGTGAATCGCATGTGATCATCAGCAGGAAGCCCCCGCACACCAGATGGTCGGCAGTCAACAGCAAGGTGTGGGGGAAGGTTCTTTTTTAGCCGCCTCAAAAGGAGGAAGCCCCCGCACACCAGATCGTCGTCAGTCAACAGCAATCTCTCTCTAATCCCCACCCCGCACTCGCGCTCACATATCCCCTCCCTCGCACTCACATGCCAGTCACACGGCCCTGTGCATCGCACGAGATCATAAGGAGGAACCCCCCGCACACCAAATCATCGTCGGTCGCTCCGATGTCCGATGCGCCCACCACCTTTTCCAGTGCAGATTCTGGGAATAAGTGGGGAGGTGGGGAGAGGGGGGGGGGGGAGAGGGGGGGAGGGTGGGAGGGGTGTGGAGGAAGGTGTGGGGGAAGGTTCTTATTTAGACGCCTCAAAAGGAGGAACCCCCCCGCACACCAAATCATCGTCAGTCGCTCCGATGGTCGATGTGCTCACTGCCTTTTCCAGCGCGGATCCTGGTAGCGGGTGAGGCGGTTGGGGCGAGCAGGGGAAGAGGGGAAAGGGGGGGGATTGAGGAGGGAATCGGGGGAAAAAAAGGGTGGGGGTGCAGAGGTGAGGGTTGGGCGCACTCACCACCGCGTCCAGCGCGGATCCTGGCACTGGCGGGGGGGAATTGGGGGAGATGGGGGGGACGGGGGGAGAGAGAAGGGGGAGGGAGCGGGAGAGGGGGGAAATGAGGCGGAGAAGGGGGAGGGGGTTCGAGGGGAAAGAGAGGGGGAGGAAGGCGGAAGTGGAGGGAGTAGGGAAGGGGTACGCACACATTACCCTGTCCAGTTCCGCACACATTACCCTGTCCAGTTCCGCACACATTACCCTGTCCAGTTCCGCACACATTACCCTGTCCAGTTCCGCACACATTACCCTGTCCAGTTCCGCGCACATTACCCTGTCCAGTTCCGCGCACATTACCCTGTCCAGTTCCGCACACATTACCCTGTCCAGTTCCGCACACATTACCCTGTCCAGTTCCGCGCACATTACCCTGTCCAGTTCCGCACACATTACCCTGTCCAGAGAGTATCCCAACGGTTCCGAGAATCCGTTCCGTGTGGGGGGGGCTGGGGAGGGGTGAGGAACGTGGGGGGTCCGCGGGCGTGGGGGGAGTGGGGAAAGGGGGAACGCACACATTACCCTGTCCAGCGAGGATCCTGGGGGGAATCGCGGGGGGGATGTGGGGAGACAGTTTCGAGAATCCGTTCCGTGTGGAGGTGTTGGCGGGATGCGGAACGTGGGGGTTCCGCGGGGAGAGTGGTGGGAGGGGGGTTGCGAGCAGTCCGCGGGCCACAAGGAACCTGTTTGTGCGCCCCCTTAAAGCCCCGAAGGAATCTCTTGAGGCGGCGAGTGAAGAAACGTCAGAGAAGGCCCGAATGAAGCTGCTACTCGGCTGACAGCCATGGAAAATGCTCTAGGCGGCGACACGACGGGTCGCGACTCGGACGTGACAGGATGATGCGTTTAAAGCCAACGTCGCTGCTCCTGCCGCCAGTTCTCGCAGCGTTAGAAAGGTTGGCTCTGAGACGTCTCGAAACATGTCGCGACTCGGACATGACAGGATGATGTATTCAAAACGAATGCCGCTGCCGCCGGTTCTGGCAGAGTGCGGGCTCTGGCACGGTTGGCGGGAGCTATAAGATTTATTTTTAAAGATTTCTGAAAAAAATCCTGGCAGAGTTTGGAGGGAAATCGTATGCAAGCGGCCATTAACGTAGGTAGTACTGCTATAGTGACCCGAGCGAATTGTTAGAAGTACCCGGTCTACGGCCATGGTCGCACGGGGGAAGCACTTGCTTGCCTGAACTGCGGAAAATATTAAGTTATAAATAAAATGAATTATAGTAAATTATGATGTTATCAGTGACGGTATGAATCAGGGCTACGCACTCTGGGAGGCATTTAACACCGCATCTGCCGCTGCAGCTCCTTGAACCGCACAGAACAGCGGGATTACAAGCCAAATTAGGGTTTTCAGAAGCGCAACAGGCGGCGGCGTAAATTGCGGCTTCATCTCGTCAGCTGTTATCCCGTCTGCTGCTGTTAGTTACGACTGTCTGTTAGCTAGCGACACTGTCAGTAGTCATCACTTCTCAGCAGCAACCCCCCAGTTTCAGACTATCAGCTGAGGGGAACTGCTAGCAGCTAGGAGAAGGTTTTACCTGTGGGTCGAGCAGTGCAATGGAGGCAATCGCGATACATACACCCGACCCGAGGCTGTTTGCAGAAATAGCCGCATGTTCCCACGGCAGCAATGACAAAAATCAGCACGTTGCGGCTCGGAAAGGCGGCGTGACGGTGTCGTTGCAACGTACAGTAACAAGTTGTTCGCCGTAACCAGTTGTGCCTGGCTGAGGTGCTGGATTGCGCATGCCAACTGTTTCTGACAGTCGGGAATTCGGGAACTGCATTGTCGAACCTCGCGAAAAAAAACTTGCTGATGGAAGATAGAGAGTTTTGCTCAATCCCGCGGAGTCGCGGTTTGTTTTATTATCGCCACGTGGCATGCCTTCGATCGCGTGAACCGCGATCTGTTTTATTGTTATCACAAACCTCAAGAGAAAATTAGTTAAGTTCTGTACTGCGCTGCCCGTGTGCAAAAATAAAACCCATTTGGGCCTGGCATGCGTTAGGGAGGCATCAACCCTAAACACCTTGCCTCTAGGTGTTTAGGGTTGATGCATCCCTAACGCATGCCTTACCTATAGGGGTTTTATTTTTGCCCGCGGGCAGCAGAATCCAGAGATTAACTAAAATTCTATTGAAGTTTGTGATAACAATAAAACAGATCACGGTTCACGCGATCATAGGCTCGCCACGTGGCGAAAATAAACCAAACCGCGCTTCCGCGGGATTGAGCAAAATTCTCTGGAAGATACTGGATGCGTACAGTGATCCTCGGATGGCAGATGCTGGGTGAAGGGTGGTTGCGGGATGGTGACCCTGCAGTGAGGGCATTCACTGAGGAACCCTCCCTACGTCCATTTCTTTGGCATAGAACGTCTCGTAGTACTGTATGCAATTTTGCAGCCCACTGAAATATAACGGGGCAGAACACACCCGGCGAAACTCTTGGGTGCGCGTTGACAGTGCTCTTTCCCGCCAGAAACGAAATCAACTCACCCCTCTTCCAGCTTCTACAACATCCTTCTCGTGCAATTTTGGTAGAGGATCAACATGTTTGGACCAGAGACTGCGGCGGCGAAAGCGACATCTGACCCTGTCTTGATTGAACATCACAGTTTTTTTCTCGGAGGAGCCTGGATTTCGACAAGGTGATTTGTGGCCCAGCCTGGATGAACATGGGGCCACTCCTGGATAGTCCCAGTTCTTTCCAAGATACTTTCTAACGACGCGTTGCGACCCACATGGGTTGGGTCGACCGGCCCCCGACCCCTCATTTCTAGGAAGGCTGCGTCGTGGGTCTAGCCGACCAGGTCGACCCAACCGGGTCGGATCGGGTCTGCCAGACCCGGGTCGATCTGGTCGGGCGACCAGGTCGACCAGACCCAACCCAACCGAGTTGAAGCAGGTTACCTAAGCTTACGAAATTTACCCTCTCGCGCAGCGATCGCCCTGATTTCGCCGCCCAAGAAGATACCAGGTAAACTCGCGCAAATTTTGCCATAGCTCGCCACAGGTCGCCCAGGCCACCATCCCCTCGCGCGGCAACTGCTTCGCATCACCCTCGAAGATGTTGGGAAAAAGCTGAGAAATTCTCGATTTTCCCGAATCGCGTTTCCGAGGGTCTGGTCGGGTTGGGTCTGATCGACCAGGTCGACCCGACCAGACCCAATCCGTGTGGGTCGCAACACGTCGTAAGGGTCCCGGATCAAATTAAAGAAGACCCGCTCCTGAGGACCTTCCTCCCAACCCAAACCACCCTCTTCTCAGCCGTCCACTCCACCTGCGTACACTTGGGTAAAAAGCCGCGGCTGAATGCCTGCATACCATCTGGCCGCTGCCAATTTAGGGATGATATACCTCAGCGGACGAAAAACGCCGCCCAATTTCGCGATTGAAATGGGACAAGGGCCCCCCTCGGGATTGACGAGCTCCTGACGACCTCCGAGTGGCAAACTGGGCCGAACTGGCGACCGAGGTGCCTCGGGGGCCCTCGGGATTGACGACATTCTGACGACCTCGGGTTTGGCTGGGAGATTCCTGAGAAGTATATCTCAGCGGACAAAATAGGACAGCACGCCACGTCGAGCCGCGACTGCCGCCACGCGGACCAATAGGGAGGAGCCAGACCGTCGCCACCGTGTACTAGGCTGCCACGCGGCGCAAATCGGACCGTCCAGGGTGTAACTGTTCTGTGGCATCGCGAGTTGCAAGCAATGTCGGTGTCGACCATTTCATCCAAAGGCCCACAACCAAGCCACGCGGCACAATCTCAACACTGTCTAGGTTCAATGAACCTAAGGAAACAACCAAGCGCGCCGAATGGAAGTCGGCGCGGATCTTAGGGCGCCCCACGCTGGGCTTCAATAATTCCGGGACCCTGGGAGATTGGAGTCGGCATGCCGTAATTTCGGAACTGAGGGGCCAATGTCGGTCACAAGCCACATAACACACGCCCATTCCACCGTGGAAAGACCCAGGCTTACGCCCCTTCGTTGCAGCGCTGCGTCACATTAGCCATGCTTGGCGCGTGGCACGTCGGACAGTGCGCCGCCTTTACGAGAACGCATGCATGGCGGCAGCAGCATAGGGGTGTGTGTGAAGCGCGGCAGCATCGGAGTCGCTCAGGACCATACCCGTCCGTGACCTTGCGGGCCTGCTCATTCCCACGTCCGTTCCTGCGTTTCTTCCTGCTCTCTCGTGCACTTAGAATTTTCAGCTGCCAGTCTGTCATCGCGCCTGTAGGTTACTCGGTTGCCGACTTGGTCAGTAGTCATCGACGTCGACGTGTGCTGTTTTAGCTAAACATCGGTGCAAGCTCCTAACGTCCCCGCCGACGTAGCAAGTCGGCGACGCATGGCCAGAGGTCGCCCTAGAGCCCAACAGCCGCAACCCATTCCACCCCCCGCCGACTCTGTAGACGCCGACATCAAAGCGCAGCTGGAACGGCTCGAGGTCGAAGCCGAGTTAGTCGCACTTGATCGAGAATTCGAAGAAGACCGCCGCGCAACTCTTCGGGCGTTCACCGCACCCGTGACTCAGTACCGTCTTTGGTTTACCAACCTCCGCAATCTCGAGGTCGAACACGGGTTAGACGTTATTGAGCGATATCTAGAAGACGACCGCCGCGCAACTCTTCGGTCGTACACCGCACCCGTGACTCAGTACCGTCTCTGGTTTACCAATCTCCGCATCGCACACAGACGACGGTAGAGCAACATACGTGCTGCCACATGGCTGACGTCGACATGTCCGACGCTAGTCCATCGACCGACCACAGTCCGACATCTACCGAGGAAGAGACGCTCCCGTTACTCTACGATCTTGACAAGCTGACGCAGATTCTAGAAGGGGAGTTCACCAAGGACATTCCCCCACTGCCGATCGGGGAGTTTAACAAGAAGAAAAAACACAATCCGACGCGAACTTGACAGCCAGGAAATTCGTCGGCACCGGCCGGCTCTGGAAACCAGGTTGAGGTCGAGGAAGAGGAGGATGGGGAGGAAGAGGAGGAGGAGGAGGAGGAAAGCGATGACGAAAACGACGAGCGTCCACCGCGTAGCACTAATCAGCGCACCTTGGAAGAACGACTCAGGCGGGAACTTGAATACATAGATAATCTGCTCGAAAAGGACGAGGATGCGGACCAGGAGAACTTGTCGGTACCGCGCGAACAGTGGAGGGCGGCAGACTTCGTCGAGGAAGACATGGTTTACGCGTCCATCGACGTGCTCGTCTTGGACGCCCTACGCCACCTGCAAACCGTGGAGAGGAACAGCACGCTGAGGCTGTACACCTCGTGGATCTATCACTACAAGAGGTGGGCGGCGAAGATGTTGAGGCAAATTCGCAGCAAGCTTCTGCATGAGCACAGGCTTAAGCACGTCGACGAGATAGGGCACTACATCCGGGACAACAAGAAGAAAAACTGGGACCAAGAGGCCGATGTCCCCCGGGCGTACGTGTGGCTGCACGGCCCTAGGGTCACCAAGACCCGGCTTCGCACATACATGAAGTACATGGTTCGGGAGTTGAAGCTCGATGCCGAGTCCGGCAAGGAGGGCGACAACGCCACAGGAACACAGCCTGTGCAATCTACAACGGTGCACACGCTACTCGGGCGCATAAAGGCATGCCAGATGGCGGCGAGAGTGGAGGCGACGCTATACCGGGAGACGGAGCTGAGCATCATGCGTGAGATATCGGTGGTCAGGTCGGAGGTGCGGTTCATGATTCGCACCAAGAACGAGCGGGACATCAAGTGAGTTTATGTTTAACCTCTGTCGACCACTCTGTTGTTGTCATGTACTATGACGACGCCGCCCTAAATTCCCCTTACCTTTGGCATTGTCGGCAGGAACTGTGCCGATCGGCGTCGCGGAACCATTGGCGATACCTACACCGCCGAACAGTTCCGCCAGATCATGATCAGGGTGCTGCCGACGTGGGCGGCCAAGGCGTGGAACCCGCGGGGTACGGGCCCTTCGCAGACGCTGTGGAGGTTTCTGCTCTTGAAGGTGCTCACGCTACTCTCCCACCACTCTCTCCTGCGCGGTCAAAGCATCCGCGAGATCACGCTCCCCGACATATTCTTGTACCAACTGGCGAGCACCTCGTCGGTGAACCCGGAGAACCAGCCGGTCATCATGGTCATCGCTGCGCGGAACTCGAAGACGTCCAAGGATGCGCGTCTGCAGCAGAGCTACGCTGCGCGGCACCTCGAAGCGGAGTTGTGCGCCGTCGGCGAGACGGGCCTGTGGTTGCACTTCATCCTCGACCAGATCGGCCAGTTTCACGGCGTCCGCCTCATTCCGCCGGTGGACACCAGCACACGCGCGAGCTGGTACAAGAAGCACCTCTTCTTCGCCAAAAACGACACCGACCAAGTGGAGCTCTCCGCGGCAAGCCACCAATGCTGGACGCGGCAGTTGTGGGACAAGAACGGGGTGTTCTTCAAGAGGAACGTGCACGCCGCTCGAGCGGGAGGGGCCCAGGAGCTGGCCATCGACGGCACGCCGCGCGCCGAGATCGCGGAGCTGGGTCACTGGGCGCTCGACAAGATGACGCGAGCATACATCACCGCCATTCCGGTGGGGGTGGTGATGAAGAAGGCCGGTTACTCTGGTTACAAGCAGGACTACTTCTTGGGTCGGAGCAGGGTAGAGCCCTCCGAGAAGATCCTGAAGCTCCTCGCCGAGCACATCTTCCCCGGCGTCGACGACATGCTGAGGACGGTATGTTAGTCGACGCCCTCGTAGCCTTGTCTTTGAGTCGTGTTGCCGACCGTGTCTGAACTCCTAATACACGTGGTGAATTGCAGGCGGAAGGGAAGGCTGCCAATGGGTCCGACGCCGACAAAGCCGCGGTGCACTTCTGGCGCACACTCCAGATGCTGCGCCGCATCGTCGCCGAGGACCTAGCGGTGAAGCTGGTCCGCACACCATGGCACCCGTACGTCCAAGGCTCCATGCTCTGCCGGATCCCCCTCTTCCAGCACTGGGCGAAACGGGTCGAGAGGGTCGACACCGAGACGATCAACAAGCGTCGGGACCCGACCCAAATTCAGGCAGAGGTAAGTCGACGACGACCTGGATGCCGGGTACTCCAAACCACCTCGCAGCTAACGTCTTTGTCGTACCGCTGCAGGAAATCTCTGTCCGCTTTGACACAGAGTACTACAACATGTCCCTGAAGGCGAAGCTGACGAAGGAGATGGAGCGCGCCGCGAACGAGAAGATTGACTTCCTGGAGGAGCTCGAGAAGCGCGACGACACCATCGCGTCGCTCACCGCCGAGATAACCCGTCTCACCGATGGTGGTCGGCGATGTGGCACGTCGACCTGGAAGTCGGCGCCGACTTGCAAGGTCACCGACTTGCAAGGTCACCGACTTGCAAGGTCACCGACTTGCAAGGTCGCCGACTTGGGAGGTTGCCAACTTCAAGAGGTCAGTCTGGAAGTCGGCGCCGACGTAGAAGGGGCGTCGACTTGGTGACGCCGACTTTGGGTAGCCGACTTGGGTGGTCGGCTGACAACTGCGCTGGTCGACGTGGAGCTGGTCGACCAGGAGTGACGTCGACCTGGAGCTGGTCGACCAGAGGGCTGGTCGACCAGAGGAGTGGTCGACCTGGTGAGGTCGACTTGGTGTGGTCGTCGACTTGGGAGGTCGACGAGCACATACAGGAGCAGCTGGTCGACATGGTTGCTCGGTCGACCAGGATACTTGGGTGACGAGGTTCTGCGAAGGAGTGCGACGGTCGCCCAGGCGAAGTTGGCGAGTCCGACCTCGGTGGTGGTATCCCGAGGTCGACGTGGCGGATCAGGTGGAGCCGTCAGCACGAAGATGACTTGGTGCGTGCGCTGTTGAGGTGACGAGGCTTAGCCCTCCAATCATCTACGAGCACCTGCGAAGTAGGTGCGCTGCTGTTCTACGGGAGCAACGCTGGCACGCCGTCAACCTGCAGCGTTGGCACGCTGTCGACTTTGCACTGCTGGAGTGCGGTCGACCAAGTCGTGCTGGAACGCGGTCGACCATGCTGTGCTGGCAGTCGACCGACCTGAATGCTAGCTCTGATGTAGTCTTGCCATGCCAACTTCATTGTACTATTGTTGTCAACTTTCTCTTGTGAAACTCTTGCCAATTCTCCCCGTGAACTAGCAAGCTGTGTGTGCACTAGGAAAACGACTAAGGACCAACGAACGCAGAGATCACACGAGCACCCGTGCCTAGCCCGTAGTCTAGCTCCTGCTGTATTAGTTATCTCCGCACCCGCCACCCCCACAGACGGACGAGGAGGCTAGTTACGAGCTCAACGTGGTACAACCGTGGCGGGAGGCCAAGACCGTGAGGGACGCCTGGCGCCTCTGGAACTCCGCCACCACCAATGACACCCGTCGGCTTTGCGACAGGTTCGGCGAGCCGGGCTTCGTCGACCGCCACACCCTCCTGTCAGGCGCGACGCAGGGTGCACTCAACATGAGGGTGCGCCGCATGCTGAAGGTCATAGATGCGGTGCGCCAGCTACGCGCGAGCGACGGCGACGACGACACCGAGGCCGTGGTCGATGCACTGCACAGGATCGCGGCACCGGGCATCGGGACCTTCGCCGATGCCCTCACGGTGCTCAAACCGGGAACGGCACCGATGTTGTCCAAGGAGCCTGGCATGGGAGTCAAGGGGCTGGGCCCCAAGGTGGTCTCGAAGCTACGCCTCGCCTGTGCGCTTGTGGCGGCTCAACCTGAAGCCGACGGTTTGGGTTGAAACCCTGTTTCCAGACACCTGGGTGGAGCAGATGCTGAAGACCAAGGCCGACCTGGCGAAGCCGACCGCACTTGCCAAGTCGACCGCACCGGCCAAGCCGACCGCACCGGTGCACCGTCCTCCGACGAAGCACAAGAAGTTTGCATAAGCGCGCTTGTAGGATATGCGTGTGCGTTGTTTGATGCTGTTAATTGTGGCAGACATTTACCCCCCCCCCCCCCCCCCCCCCCCTTCTTTTTTCAAATGCTGTTCCGGTAGTTTGTAACAACCCACTGCAAGGTCCTTGCGAACCTACTTGATCCCGCTGTGTTAATTGTTGTCGAATAAAAAATACTATCCTCGGGGCGATGTCGAAGTCTCGCAGGACTCATCCTTCATCGCTGAGTAGCATGTTGCTATGCTGTCGACATAGACGCCGACAATGCCCGTCGCCGAGTATCATGTGTCTACCTTTTTTTGTTCGCTCCTCGCCAAGTAGCATGTTTCTTTGATGTCGAGATATGCGCCGACAGGGCTCGTCGTTAGAAGGCGGCTAGCATGTTTCTATGTGGAAAGTGATTTTTATCATCACATAGTGAAGCAAACAGAAACAAAAAAGACTCGTGCCCTACGATAGAAAAGTCATTAGAAGTACAACGACATCGGCGCCGGCCATACCATAGCACCACAGCCCGCCGACTACGCATCCGTACTGTCCTTGCCCTGCTTGCCCATCTGCCCCCTTTTCCTCTTGCTGCCCTTGGCCTGCTTGACCTTCTCCCCCTTCCTCCCCCTGTGCTCCATATCGTACTCCATCTTCGCGTCACACGGCACATCGATGCCCTGCTCTTTGAGCTTGGGCCCGGCCACGGGGCACATTCCCCAGAACTCCAAGGTCTCGACAGTCGCTCTAGCAATCATGTCGGCCTCGACTTCCTCAACTCCCTCCTTGAAGGCACTGGCCACTGCCTGGCTCTGCAGCGCTGGCGCGACGTTATGTGCAACCTCCCCCGCGGGAGCCTGCCTACTGCGTGCTATGTCGATCACCGCGAGCATCACCTTCTTGAAGTCCTCGGCCCTCTCCTCCCCCGCACCTGCCACCATCGCCGCCGCCTTCCCTTCGCCCACAGCACCGAGCACCGACACCCCCGTCTCCACGAAGCACCAGAGGGCGCATGCCGATGCCGCTAACGCCTGGGCCCCCATCTCCGTTTTCTCGTCCGCCTTCCCCTCCGCGCCTTCCATCTCCGTCTTCTCTCCCGCCTTCCCCTCCACGCTCGCATCGACCTTCCCAAACGCCGCGCTCGCCGCGACCTTCCCATACGCCGCGCACATCGACACGCGATTTACCATCGCCGACATGAGAGGGTCCGTCTCTTCCTTGCCTTCCTCCGTGTTTTCGATGATGGGGAACCAGATCGCCGGGCAGAGCACGTCATGAAGCGCATCACCCGAACTCGCGTACCCACGGTACCTGCCGAGTATATCGTCGAACCTGCCGCGCAAACACATTAAAACGACACGACTTCGTCAAAATCAGCGTAATGACACCGACTTGGTCGACAGAACTCGGCACGTCGGTATCCGTCTTACCTTGCTCTCGGATGGCACAAGCCTCTGGCCCACATCACCGTCCACATCCCAGTCGGCAAGAACTTGACCTCCGCCCACACCTCCTTCCATTTATCCAACTCCCCCGGCTTCAAGACGGTGAGCTCCTTCATGAGCACCTTGCTCACGTAGCCGTCGTAGACGACGAACGCAATCGCGTGCTCGTAGGCCAGCTCCATCTTCTCCCTCGACTTGCCGATGTATCAATTCTGTCCGTTTACCTTAATCTCGCCCACCCACCCATGCCCGTCGCCGGACCTGTCTTGGCGGATGCCATGACCCCTGCGTCCATGCTCTTTATCTCCCTCGCCGCCCTCCTCGTCCTCCTCCTCCGCCTTCTCCTTCTTCTTCGCCGGCTTACCCTTGCCGCCCGTCTTGTCCTGATTCCCTTTCTCTTCCGACATCTCCTTTCCCGCAGACATCGCCCGCGTGCTCCTCTGAGAGACCGCCTTCCCTTTCCCGGTGTCATCCTTCCCCTTCCGTCCAGCATTTCTCTCGGCGACAGCACTCGTTGCAGCCGTCGGCTCCGCCGAACCCTCTCCGTGGGTCGCCGACGGCACCACATGCGCCGAGTCCATGATGGCCAGAGCAGGGGCGTGCTCGGGGCGTTTTGCTGCTTCAAAATGGGCCAGGACGGCAGCGAGTTCGGCATGCTTGTCGGCGCGGCCGCCGGTGGCTAGCGCTGCACTCACTCCCTTCTCCGCGGCCGCATCGACAACAGCTGCACCTGGTGAGGGTGCGGTCGCGTTTACCGACGTCGGCGTCGCGTTGTTGCCAGGCTCCGACTGAGTCACCGCTTTGCGTGCGCCTAAATGGGCGCGAAGAAACGCGGATTTGGGGTCCGCAGGGGGTGGGGCGGCGACCGGAGGCGCGGCAGGCGGGGCACCGGACGATGTGCCGGCAACCTGCGGAGTGACTGAGCGACGTGCTGTTCCGGCAAAGCCGGCGTCGACCACGGGATGCTGCTGCACGTCCCTGCTATGTGCCTCCATGCGGCGGAGCATCGCCCTGAGCGCGTTACCACCGGGGGGGCCCTTAGCTGATGCCGGAGCATCGCCCTTAGCCGAAGCAGCCTTCGCGTCGCCCTGGGCGGTAGACGGGGCTGCCGGAGCAGGAGGGGCCACACGGGCCTCCCCATCTTTGTTCGCACCTGACTGGCCGGCAGGCGCGCTGGTAGCCGCAGGGTGGTTACGGGGATTCGACTTGGTGGTGCTGGCAACCGAGGCAGAAGTAGCCTTCGCGTTGCCCTTGGCCGCCACCGCGACGGACGGTCCCTTGGTGGTTCCGGCGCCGCCATCTTTTGCCGCCTGCGCAGTTGGGACCTCCTTGTCGGTCACGCCTTTCCCACCGCTCGCCTGAGGATGGGTCTGCTCGGCGACCAAAGGCGGGCCAGGCGGAGCGGCGACGTTAGCGGCAACCCCGTCGGCAGGGCCACCCTCTGCCCCCCCGCTTCCGCCTCCCTTGCTGTTCGACGTCCTTATCACCTTCCACCCCGCCTTCGTCTTCAGCTGGTCGACCACGCTCTGTGCCGCAGGCTTCGAGCCGCGGCTCCCGTCCGATCCCTTGCTCCGCTTCGCGCTCTCCTTGTCGTCTCCGTCACCCGTCCTCTTCGGGCCCTGCTTGTCGGCCGTCTTCCGTTGCGCGTGATCGGCGTCATTGGCCGACGGCGACGACCCACGTCGACCAGGCGCCAGAGTGCCGATCATCTCGGTCATCATCTTCTTCCCGGAAGCAACGAAAGACTGTTGGGTGGCCTCCGTCACCGCCTTCATGATGTCGGCCTTGAACGACTTCAAGAGCTCTTCCGGGAGGGCGGGCGGCGTGGGATGAGGCGGTGGCGGCGGCTGCACGGCGAGCCTGGAGGTCACAGCGGTGGCGATGTTGACCTGCGCGGCGGTTAGTTGCGTCGTGATGTACAGCTCCAAACCCCGCTTCGCTTCGCCCACCTCCCCAGTCACGTGATCGGCCATGGCGTCGATCGCTCTCGCGCGTGCATATGCCACACGACCCTCCGGGTTGTCGAAGTCCTCCAACCACGCCGACGCCTGTTCCGCGAAGGTCTTCATCGCCTTCCACGCTTCGTCGAAGCTGCCGGTGATGTTGCCCGTGATGGTCTCCGACATGGCCGCCGTCGCGTTTCGCAGCTGTTCTACCGCATACTTCTCGGTGTCGTCGACCTGTTCGGCCAACCCTTTCACGTGGTCGACGAGTCCACTAAACCCAACAAAAAACCTGTCCAGCCGAGCCTGCTCCGCATTGAGCAACGTCGCCAGCCGAGCGTTCTCCGCCCTCAACAACCAGTTCTCCTGTCGCAGCTCCTCAACGTCGTCCAGTTCAGGGCCCTATCGACCATATGCTTCCCCGGTCTCCTGCACGCCCGTGATGTTCGCCCCTTCGCCGGCGTCGACCGACACCTTCCCACCTTCGCATGCCGCCTCCTCCTGGCCCTTTTCCGTCGATGCCTCCACGCCGACCTCATCCTTCTCCTTCCCCCCATCTGCCGACCTCGTAGCATTACCCGCATCGCCATCCTCCGCTTCCTCGTTCTTTTCGTGCGCCGACCCCACCGCCTCTACCGCAGCTCCCACCTCTACGTACTCCACCTCGTACTCCACCTCGTCCTCCACCCCCTCTTCATCCTTCCCTTCCCCCTCCCCATCCTTCCCTTCCTCCTCCTCATCCCCGTCATCCTTCTCGTCCTTCTCCTCCTCCTCCTCGTCGTCCTTCTCGTCCTTCCGCGTCACCGCCTCGTCCTCCTCCGCCTCCTCCTCAGACTCCGACTCCGAATCCGAATCCGACTCCGACTCCTCTTCCTTCCTTCCTGCACCTGCCGCAGCGTCGCATCCTCCTCCACCGTGTACTCCTTCCGCGGACACCCTCGCGTTCCCCTGATGCTGGGCGGCAACTGCTGCTTGGGGCGCCGTCTGTCTTTCCGCGCCGTCGTCATCAATCACACTGTCGGCGGGTTTGACGGCTTGTGAAGTCGGCGCCGCAGAGCGGTTTTCGGCGATACGCTTGCAGATGTACTCCACCATGCTCTCTTGCAACGTCCGCAGCCCCTTTGTCTTGATGTTCTCGATGCTCACCCCACTACGACGCTTCTCGCCCGTGAGGAGGTCAATCTGCTTGGCCACCCACCCGAACGACGTCGCGGCAAGCATGCCGGTGCCGACCTTCTCGTCCGACACTGTGTCTGGCACTTTCTGCATACAACACTGGCAATCGCGGAACATTATGAGCGGAGCATACAGAAACGTGCACCCCCCTTAATGGATAAACGTGCAACTCACGTCGCGGATAGGGTGGTCGCAGTCGGCAAGCCTGTCCTCCACCACTGCTTGTGATGGCGGCGCCCCGTCCCACTTCCTACCGGGACGCCCCAGCTCGGCCAGGACAGCTGTGCGGAATAGCCTGGAGCATCGTGGTAAAAGGAGGCGGTCAGCATGTGATACCCTATGTCGTCGACTAACAAGCGGGACATTGATGACTATTCACAACTTACTTCAGCACGCGGATAGCCTCGTCGCGGTGCTTCAGTTTTTCGGTATGCGGGTCGATGTGCCGGATCGAGGTCCTGCAGTCCTGTCCGTCAGCCTTCAGCAGATCTCCTGGGTAGAGGATGGCTATGACGCTGCAGTGTAACCCTGGAAGTGGACCGCCGCTGCACATGCAATACACGACGGCGCCGACCACAACATTAGGCGATGATGCGACCGACTAAACACAACGATAACTGGACAACGGGGAAACAGCTCACGTCGTTCTTAACGGGATGGCGGCGATGTCGGCGTCGAAAACCGTAGCAAAGCAAGAATGGTCGGCGGCCTTCATGGCCGATCGAAGCGGGCCGACTCCGATTACCCACAACCGCTAGTCGTTCAGCCCAATGCGATACCAAGCGTACCAGAGCGCACGAGTGGGCATGAGGGGTGATAACATGGCGGGTAAGCAAACGCTAAAGCTGCCATGTCGACGCTTGCTATGCCGACCGACGTCCCTGGACGGGGTCCATGCCTAATGCCTCGTACGCCGACGTAAGTCTGATGACAATCTGCGACAATCCGTCCCCCGACGAAAAATGACATATACCCCCTATGCGCCCATCTAGAGTTAGTCGGCGCCGACATCTGCCCTATTCGCCAACCGCGACTACTCGAGTCCCACCTGATGCCGAATCCCAAGCATATCTCGGAAAACTCTTTCTTATGGCCGCGAAGGACGGCGAAGTCGTCCCACTCGAAGGTGAAGCTCAGACCGCGACCCATTCGGTGTCGAAGGGGAAAGTCAGCCGAAGTCGGCGCCGACTTATCTGCGTAGGGGCTCGGCTCCATATCGACTACGGGAAGACGAGGACGGCTAAGGTACGATAGCACGGATTTAGGGGGAGGCGCAGAGCTATCAAGGTGTGAAGATCGAAACGAGATGCGGAAAGTGAGGAGCGAAGCCACGGGACGTTGAAAATGAGGTGGTGCCCCAACCCAGGCCCGTTCGGCATCGCCCAAGGGTGTGGGGCCTGGCTCGGCAGGGCTCGGAGGGCGCATGCGCAAGTGGCACAGGTGGTCCGTCTCCGCCATGGCAGAGCGTCGACTTCGCGTCCATTGGCCCAGGTCGGCGAGGGGACGCACAACTCGCATGCGCGCGGAGCGTCGCCACGGCCGACACGTGTCGATTTCGTAGAGGATCGCGACGCTGGTTTGCGCATGCGAGGCGAGATGCTTTAATTTCGCATCGTCCGAAATTTCGCATGCGCGCGACGCGAAGCCACGGGCAAACACGTGGCGTGACCGCAACGGGTCGCGAAACTGTCGAGTGTCCCGAGGGGGGCCCCGATTTTTCGCATTGCCCTCGCCTGCCCGCCGGGCAGGCCGCGTTGGGTTACTAGGACCTCGCGGGCAGGTGGCACGTGTGGGCTGCCTTCGCGCGAGGGTAACTTTCCCACGCGCGAGGTGTCGCCAGTTCGCCGACCCCACCCGGTAACGTGGGTCGCTGTTCACTTTCGGAGCGGGGCTGCGGGGCGGCGGTCGTGCGCTCGGCCCAGCCCTGGGCCAGGCTGGCGGGCCCGCACGCGCGCCAGTCGCCCGCCTCGTCAGGCCCGGCTCCGACGACCCCCCTCGACGACACAGGCAACTCGGCTCCGACGACCGAGTTCCGATGAGGTGTTCGGGCGATGTTAGGTTGCACAACTTATGTACGCTCAATGCGGTCAACTTTCTTTCGTCATGGTTCGAAACGGTAAACAAAGAGAACCGCTTTCACCTTGTGGAACCATCCACACGAAACCCGAAACCTTGAGCCACTGTAAAATGTGGGAGATATGTGCAACTGACATCGCCCATCCACACGAAACACGGAGCGGGTAAACACGAAACAAGGAGCATGTGTGTCAGCGGTGCCATTGGCCAAACATCCACCGTGGAACAGAGTTCAGGTTCGCAAGGTGGGGCGTGTACTGTAAAGCCAAGCCAGACAAGAGGTCCGCCCCTCCACCCCAGCTTCAACGTCGCGTTGCGCTTTTCGCGCCATCGCAAGTTCCAACAGAGGAAACGGTGGATGTCGTCGATGACGATCACCAAGCTCGAATGCCCCCAAAAGCCATCCCCGAAAAGGGTTTGGACGCGGCTCTTTATGGTGCAGTCTAGATTAGCATGGTTGCAGTGCGGTGAAAAGTCCTCAGTGCTGGATTTCGTGAACGTTGCATCGTGTGCACTACATCGTTAGTTCCATGCCTCCCAACCATGGATGTCGGTGCGCCAACACTCTCTGGTTGACTACAAACCCTTTCTGTTCATGTCAATCGGTGTAATTAAAATAATAAATCTTGGGGTTGGAAAAAGTCTCTCGTAATAACTCCTTGGTGCAGATGAAACACTGCCGCATCGCTCGCCGTGAACTGCGGGTTGATTTGGGGAGCACGTGTCATCTCTGTGTTGCGATTTTTTTACGGATCGCGTTTCCCCTCTATCTCGTAGCCTTGGCTCGTGTCGCTGACGGTCTCGTCGACTGCCATAGCCTAACGAATCCAAGTAAGAGGATTCGCTTTCGCCGATCTTGGTATCACTGCCGTTTAGGGTCCTCCATCATTTTCGTTCCTGCCCTAGATGTTGCCGCCAACTGTCCGACGACAAAGCTGCATCTTTTAGGGTTTCGTTGTTATCCACTCAACTACCTTTTAAGTTTTCGTTTCGCGGGTCCCTTCCAAAATCCCCCTCGTCTTTGTCCCTCAGGTGAATCGTCGAACCTCTTCTCAAACCCAAGCTTCGATACAAGCTGTCTCGATATAGGATGGCGTCGCAAGAACCTGAACGCGTCGTGCCACCCATGGGCGTACTTATTTCCGTGGCGTGCGTTAGAACCTGGGGAAACATCCTTGAACGACAAGGTCTTAGCCACCGCATCTGGCGGCGAAAACCGCGGGCCATTCCTTGCGCTAGATGCTGCAACACAGGCGGAAGCGATTGCGACAGCAGGAGGGGCGGCGGCGTCGCCTGCTGACGTGTCAATAAAGGACGGGGTCACGGGAGTCACGGACACCCTACTGGCAGCTGACGGGTCCCGTTTTTTACGGTTATCTTCCGCCTTTTCCGCGTCTTCTAGTGGCGACGGCGCTTCTGGAAGTAGCAATAGCAGTAGCGCGTATGGCGGACCAGGCGTGGCGCAAGCGCTGTGCGCGCTTAAGCCCGCGGCGCCGACCAGCAATGTCTCGCAGGAGGCGCAGCATCAGCAGGCCCCGCGCCAGCTGTCCCTCTCGTTCTTTGCGCGCGCCAGCCTGTGCACGGAGGGGGAAGGGCGTGCGGAAGGGGCCGCGGAAGGGGCCGCGGAAGGGGAGGCGGAGCGGCTGTTGAAGGTGCTGCTGCTGGCAGTTCCGCTCAACGCTTCCGCCGCCGCCGCGGCAGGGGGAGGGGGAGCAGCAGGCGGAGAAGCAGCAGCTGCGGGAGGGGCGGAGGAAGGAGGAGCGGGGGCGCAGGTGTGGGGGGAGTGGCAGGTGGGAGTGCCATGTGGGAAGAGCATTGCGAGTTTGTCCGGCGCCTTACCTTGGTTCCAAGTGGGACCCCTCCTCTTCCCCCTCCCTGACCCCCCGGGTTCCTCCTCCTCTTCTTCCTCCTCCTCTTCCTCCTCCTTTTCTTCCTCCGCCTCTTCCCCTTCTTCATTGGTAGTGCCTCGGGGTGGAGTGGCGCTGCATTTGGTGATTCGAGGTTTGCAAGGCAGTAGCAGCAACAGCAGCAGTACCAGCAGCAACAGCAGCAGCACCAGCAGTAGCAGCAACAACAGTAGCAGCAGCAGTAGCAGCAACAGCAGTAGCAACAATAGCAGCAGCACCAGCAGTAGCAGCAATAGCAGCAGCACCAGCAGTAGCAGCAACAGCAGTGACACCAGCAGTAGCAGCAGCAGCAACAACAGCAGCAGCAGCACTAGCACTAGCAGCGATACCATCAGCACCAGCAGCACCGGCAGCGGCAGCAGCAGCACTAACAGCACCAGTAGCAGCAGCAGCAGCACTACCAACATCTTCCCCACAATCAGCGCTGGCGGAAGCACTAGCATCGACAGCAGTAGCGTCGTCATCAGCGGCACAGGCGGCAGCAGCAGCAGCGGCAGCGGCAGCAGCAGCAGCAGCAGCGGCTGTGCTGAAGCTGACAGCACGGGGAACAGTGGGTTCACCATCAGTGGATTCACTAGCACCTCCTCCTCTGGCCTCCTAATCCGATCAGCGTCTCACCCACACCCCTCCCTGAAAAGCCCTATCCGGTTCCCCAGACTAAACCTGTCTGGCCTAAGGGCCTGTGGTGGGTCACAGCAGCCTCGAACCCTTGGGTTGATTCGGGCTGCAGGAGCGGGGGAAACAGAAGCAGAAGCAGCAGCGCCGGCAGTGCAAGCAGCTGGGGGGATGGCAGTAGGGGGTGCGGTGTCTGTATCCCCGAATGTGGCAGTGGCAGCAAAGGGTGTGGGGGAAAGACCTTTATCCCAGACAGCACCAGCAGCGGAGGGTGTGGGGGAGAGACCGGCACAAGCAGCAGAGGGGGATGCGGGGTCTGTTTCCTCGAGTGAGGCAGTAGCAGCAGTGCAAGCAAGTGGTGGGATGGCATTAAGTGGTGCTGGTCCTTCATCCCATACTGCTGCACCAGCAGCGGAGAGCGTGGGGGAGAGACCAGCACAAGCAGCAGAGGGGGGTGCGGGCGCTGTTACCCCAAGTGAGGCAGTAGCAGCGGTGCAAGCAAGTGGTGGGATGGCATTAAGTGGTGCTGGTCCTTCATCCCATACTGCTGCACCAGCAGCAGAGGGTGTGAGGGAAAGACCGCCATTAGCAGCAGCAGCATCCGGTGTTGCTGGGAATGCGGGAGGAGCAGGAGGGGCAGGAGGAGTAGGAGGAGCAGGAGTGGCGGAGTCGGCAAGTCCAAGGAGAGTGGGAGTGGCATCGGAGGCAGGCAGCATGGCCGTTGACCTTGTGTCTGTCATGTCCACCCGCAGTGAGTCTCAGAGAGAGAAGGGTAGGCTGGCGAGGAAAGAGAGTTGCAGACAGGCGGTTGGCAAGAGTGGGAGTGGCGTCGGAGGCAGGCAGCATGGCCATTGACCTTGTGTCTGTCATGTCCACTCGCAGTGAGTCTCAGAGAGAGCAGGGTAGGTTGACGGGGAAAGGGAGTTGCAGACAGGCGGTTGGCAAGAGTGGGAGTGGCGTCGGAGGCAGGCAGCATGGCCATTGACCTTGTGTCTGTCATGTCCACTCGCAGTGAGTCTCAGAGAGAGCAGGGTAGGTTGACGGGGAAAGGGAGTTGCAGACAGGCGGTTGGCAAGAGTGGGAGTGGCGTCGGAGGCAGGCAGCATGGCCATTGACCTTGTGTCTGTCATGCCCACTCGCAGTGAGTGAGAGAGGCAGCAATGAGTGAAAGAGGCAAGGCGAATTGACCTTTCAGTGAGTGAGAGATTCAATGTTTGAGTTGACTCAAAACTCGCCCCAACCTAAACGTTGCAGTGAGTCAGTGAGTCAGGGAGGTCGCGGCCAAATTATTCAGTGTCTCACTGTCAACGAGTCAGCACAAGTTAGCTTGCGTGCCAGTGGCTCTTTCTTGCCGAAATTCCCTGTGCTGCTCTGGTGCAATGGTCAGTAGCGTCATTTTGTTTACCATTTCGCACTTCCCTTCGGCAACCCCTGTTCCTCTTCCTTCCTGCTCCTCGTCCCCCTCACGCCATCCCCCCCACTTCCCTGCAGCCAACCCCTCACCCCTCAAGTCCTTCACCCACTGGCCGCTCTCCAGCTCCCACCCGCTCCTCACAGCCGGCTCAACACGCCGCAACCGCTCCTCCCTCTCCCTCACCACGCTCTCCGACCTCAACGCTGCCGCCCTCGCGCTGCACCCCACCCCCTTCGCCCTGCTCGCCCCCGCCACGCCCTCCTCCCCCTGCCGCCCCTTCTCCTTCTCCACCTCCTTCTCCTTCCGCATCTCCTCCCCCAACGCCGCCGGGCTGGGCGGCGAGGGCTTAGCGTTTGTGATGCTGCCGTCTCCTACCCTTGGCTTGCCGGGGCCCTCCCTGGGCTACGGCCGCCTGCTGCTGCCCCCGGGGAGTACGACTGGTGCTGATAATGCCAGTGGCGTGTCATCTCAGGTATGTGTCATCTCTAAGTACGTGTCATCTCAGGTATGTGTCATCTCAGGTACGTGTCATCTCAGGTATGTGTCATCTCCGGTACGTGTCATCACAGGTATGCGTCATCTCAGGAACAAGCTCCTTGGCATTTTGCATCGTAACTCCCAATGCCGCGAGGCTAGGCAGGCGGGGAGGAGGGCATGGCGTTGTGTGGTGATTTTTTTTCTTCGCCCTCATTAGCTCAGCTGGCAGGGGGTATATGGTCATCTGCTCCAACTCTTCCATCTCCCGCCTTCCGTCTTTCCAGTTAGTTTTCCAATGGTCTCACTCACTATGCTCGTCTTTCTCTCTTGTTCTGCTGTTTTGCTCTCTTGCTCTTCTCTTTCTCTTCCGCTTCTCTCCCCCTCCCATCCTAGCAGCACAGGAGCCTAGCAGTGGAGTTTGACACGGCCTCTTCCCCCGAGTTCTTCGACCGGCCCGACCACCACGTGGGGGTGAACCTGCACGGCAGCATGCTCTCTCTCGCCTCTGCCCCCGTGCACCCCCTCGGCATTCCCGCCCTCAACGCCGGCCAGACCCTCCTCGCCACCATCCACTACAACGCCTCCTCCTCCCACCTCACCGTCTGGCTCTCCCCTGGCTCCTCCTCTTCTGCTTCTTCCTCCTCCCGCTCTTCCGCCTCTCCCACCTCTTCCTCTCGCACCTCTTCCTCTCGCTCCCTTGGTTTTCCTCGCTTTCTTCGCTTCCCGCGCCCTTCCCGCTCTTCCTCCTTTTCCTCCTCCTCAGCCTCCTCCCACTCCGCTCCCCCTCTCCCGTGCTCGGCCGTGCTGACCACATTCCTGGACACCTGCGAGTGGCTGGGGGGGAACGACCCGGAGGCAGCAGCGCCCCACCCGCTGCTGTTTGTGGGATTCACAGCGGCCACGGGCAAGGGGGCGGAGCAGGCTCAGGCACACGAGGTGCTGGGGTGGACCTTCCAAGTGGGGGAGGGTGAGTTGTTTGGGAGTGACTTTTAGAGGTGCCAGGGTGGAGGTTTGACGTCGGGGAGGGTGAGTTGTTTGAGTGACCTTAAGAGGTGCTGGTGTGGAGGTTTGAAATAGGGGAGGGTGAGTTGTTGGGAAATTTCTTGATAATCATACAGCCGTGGGAAGGGATGGGATGGAAAAGGGGGCGGAGCAGGTTCAGGCAAACAAGGTGCTTGTGTGGAAATTTCAAATCGGGGAGGGTGAATTTGAGTCGAGTGCCCTCGTCCCTGTTCTTGGATCGTTTCGTGTGTTTCTCGACACATGCAAGTGGGCCGGGGTGAATGAGTTGTCAGACGTCCAGCACAAGGCATGCTTGATTGTTCCTAGGGAATTAACAGGCTCGCTAACCTGGGGGGTTATGGGCGCACTGACCCGCTACTTAACAAGCCCTTTTTATCCCAGTGGTTAGTGGCTGGGATTCTGACATGGTATCAGAGCGAAAGTTTTGGGTTCGAATCCTCATGTGTGCACATGTTTGCGCTTTACCCTCTGTCGTTTCCTAGGACTTTCTTGTGAGAGAGGGTGTCAGAAGACCAGCACTGGGGAGTGCGCTTTCCCCTCACTAATCCAGCACTGCATTATTTCCCTGCATTTTTTTTTCATAACCCTTCCTCACTGTCTTTGCCCTCCGTCACTTTTTCTGAACTGAAACCCTCCCTTCCGCCCTCTCCCCTTATACCTTACTGTGTCAACTCCCCCCTCCTTCCCCCCTCCACCTCGTCTCACATACCATGCCAACCCCAGCAGCGGAGGATCCGCTTCCGTTTTGGGCGGCAGACTCGTTCTCCTTCCCCTACATCACGCCAGCCACTCCCCTGCTGACACGTGGCAGCACACGAAGGCGTTTCTTTGCCGCCGATCTCTCCGTCGCTGCTGACGTGGCATCATCCACCGGCACCGGCCAATCAGATGAGCCCGCCCCTGGAGCCCTCTTCTTCCCTCGCCGTCTCCCCCTCCTCTACTCCTCGTCCTCCCCTCCCTTCCCTCCTCCCTTCCGTCCTCCTCCCTTTCCTCCTCGCACTTCCCCCCGTTCCTCTCCTTCCTCCTCCTTCTTTCCCCAGCCCACAGCAACCGAACCCCCAACCTGCAAGGCTCGCTCCTTCACCTTCACATTCGGCTTTTCCATGAATACATCCGCTTCCCATGGGCTCGCGTTCGTTATAAGCACACATGCGACCCTGGGCCTAGGCGGGGCTTATATGGGGTACGGCCGGGACCCATCCTCGCGACTCGCTAATGGCAGCTGGCCCGACGGCGCCCGGAGTGTTGCTATCAAGTGGGACACTGTAGCAGACCCAGAAACAGGCTATATAAATAATCTAAGTAATACTAGTAATATTAATAATATAAATAATATAAATAATATAAATAACATACACATCGGCATCAATACCGATTTCAACATGACCTCGGTTTCCGCTAAGAAGGTGTTAGACGCTATGGAGCCTGAGGAGGTGTGGCAGATGAGGGTTGACTATAACGGGAGCAGCAAGGAGATGCTGATCAGATGGTACCGCCCCCCTGCACTACGAGGCAGCATGAATGTCTCTTTTGACCTCTGTGCCGCCCTCACTGGAGCCTCTGTTGACTCCAGCGGAAGCAGCAGCAGTGGCGGTGGCGACAGCAGTAGCAGTGGTGGCGGCAGCAGCAGCAGCAGCAGCAGCAGTGGCGGTGGCAGCAGCAGCAGCAGTGGCAGTGGCAGCGGCGGCAGCAGCAGCAGCAGTGGCAACAGCAGTGTGACGGACCTATGGTCGCCATCCTTTGGGCAGCTGTTCGTTGGGTTCACCAGCGCTGCTCTCCCTCCCCCCCCTGGCCGCCTGCCCTCCCCCGTCGCCCTCTCCTCCTGGACCTTCCGATTCACAGGTAGAGGGGGGAGGGGAGGGGTTGACAAGGGGGGGGAAGGGAAGGGGGGAGAAGGGAATGGGGGAGAAGGGAATGGGGGAGAAGGGCATGGGGGAAAAGGGAATGGGGGAAAAGGGTATGGGGGAAAAGCGTATGGAGGAAAAGGGTATGGGGGAAAAGGGTAAGGGGGAAAAGGGTATGGGGGAGAAGGGAAGGGGGGAGAGAGGAGAGGGGAATGGGTTGAAGGGGGGAAACGCAGGTTTGAGAAAGTACCAAAGTCGATCCAGTTTGGATCGAACCGGGTCAAGTCAAAATGCCCCTGTGGTCAAACCGAAGTGAACCAGTTCGGTTGATCCAAATCAAGTGGGGCCTAGGGCCAAGGTTCGCCCTTGTACTCCACCCTCCTTGGGCTTGAGTAAACTAGGGATGAGCAATATGTCAAACTCCTGTTCGGTTCGCCCTTGTACTCCACCCTAGGGATGAGCAATATGTCAAACTCCTGTTCGGTTCGCCCTTGTACTCCACCCTAGGGATGAGCAATATGTCAAACTCCTGTTCGGTTCGCCCTTGTACTCCACCCTAGGGATGAGCAATATGTCAAACTCCTGTTCGGTTCGCCCTTGTACTCCACCCTAGGGATGAGCAATATGTCAAACTCCTGTTCGGTTCGCCCTTGTACTCCAACCCAGGGATGAGCAATATGTCAAACTCCTGTTCGGTTCGCCCTTGTACTCCACCCTAGGGATGAGCAATATGTCAAACTCCTGTTCGGTTCGCCCTTGTACTCCAACCTCCTTGGGCTTGAGTAAACTGACTGACACCATTCCGTTCCAGAAGGGGGGGGACCTGACCATTTCAGTTGGCAGCGGCGGCTCGGCACCCCTAGTCGAGCCAAGCCAATCTACGAGTCGTTTTTTTGTACGGAGTTTGCGTGGAACCAAACTGCAGTTCAGTTCAGTTCAGTTCAGTTCAGTTCAGTTCAGTTCAGTTCACTGGATGCTATGCAGGAGGCCCTCTTATCCTGATGTTTGAATTCGTGGTTTGGAGTGGATCAGGAAGCAAGGGTCTTCCATCCTGTTGTCTTGCCTTGAATACCCCTTCTCACCCCCTCACACTCCTTCACACCCCCTCACACTCCTTCACACCCCCTCGGCATTCCCGTACGGTTCCCTATGTCCCCATTCTCCTCCTGCCTGCCTCATACTTCCGCTCCACACACTCCCCATTCCCATCCTCCCTCCCCATGGACAGACACCAATCCCTGCAATGCCTCTCCAGTGCTCCCCTGTGGTACGGGTGTGTGCACCACTTTTGAGACGTCTCAAAAGTTGCACCAAGGCACCTGCCCCGTCTATCCTCCTCGTGCCTCACACCCTCTCTCTCCGCACCTCACCCTCCATCTGCCCCACACCCTTCACCCCCCCCCCCAACAGACACCGACCCCTGCAAGGGTTCTCCAGTGCTCCCCTGTGGCACTGGCGTGTGCACCAAGGCACCTGCCCCGTGGGACCCGTCTGTCCTCGTGCCCTCCTGCAAGTGCCCCTTCAATCTCCCCTCCTTCGAACCCACCCACCTCGCCGGCCTGCCCTCCTGCTTCCCTGGTGAGACGTGGAGTGCGGTAGGCAAGAGTTGGCAGGAGGTGGAGTGCGGTAGGCAAGAGTTGGCAGGAGGTGGAGTGCGATAGGCAAGAGTTGGCAGGAGGTGGAGTGCGATAGGCAAGAGTTGGCAGGAGGTGGAGTGCGGTAGGCAAGAGTTGGCAGGAGGTGGAGTGCGATAGGCAAGAGTTGGCAGGAGGTGGAGTGCGGTAGGCAAGAGTTGGCAGGAGGTGGAGTGCGATAGGCAAGAGTTGGCAGGAGGTGGAGTGCGATAGGCAAGAGTTGGCAGGAGGTGGAGTGCGGTCGGGGCCGTCATTCTTGCTTTGTGGATGACGTAGTTTGTGTGTTTGTGTGTTTTGATTTTGTTTTTTTAGGTTTCTCTAAATGTGTACTCTTGCTCTGTTTCCACTCTTCCAGTACGCCTTCTTAACCTTTCTCCATCCTCCTCCATTCCCCTTCTCCCTTCTTCCCCTTTCTCCTCCCTTCCCGTTCCTCCTCTTTTCCGCTTCCTCTGTACCGTCGCCCGTCCCCTTCCCCCCCATCCGCCGTCCTTTTCCCCCCCATCTCCCGTCCCTTTTCCTCCTGTCCTCCGTCCCCTGGTCCCACCGTCCCCTCCCCTCCTCGTCCCCTCACCAGATTCCTTCACGTGTCGCCAGCTCGCCAGCAACCCATGTGCCCCGGGGGTGTGCATTGATGAAATGGACGGCACCTACTCCTGCCTCTGCCCCTCTGATTTTCCTACTCCCCCCTTCTCTCCATCCCCTCACCAGAGACCTTCACGTGTCGCCAGCTCCCCGCCAACCCATGTGCCCCGGGGGTGTGCATCGATGAAATGGATGGCACCTACTCTTGCCTCTGCCCCGCGCCCTTCTTCTCCTTCTACTTCTTCCCCAAAGGCACTGCCCGCTGCCACCTCTGTGCGTACCACTTACTACCTGCCTCTGCCCCTCGCCCTTCTTCTCCTTCTACTTCTTCCCCAAAGGCACTGCCCGCTGCCACCTCTGTGCGTACCACTTACTACCTGCCTCTGCCCCGCGCCCTTCTTCTCCTTCTACTTCTTCCCGAAAGGCACTGCCCGCTGCCACCTCTGTGCGTACCACTTACTACCTGCCTCTGCTCCCAAAGGGATGTGGTTGGGTTTCTGTACCCCCTGCCTCTGCCCTTCCCCGCGCCCTTCTTCTCCTTCTACTTATTCCTGAAAGGCACTGCCCGCTGCCACCTCTGTGCGTACCACTTGCCCAAACGGGAAATTGTCCGTGTTTCCTTGCTTACCACCTGCCTCTGCCCCTCGCCCTTCTTCTCCTTCTACTTCTTCCCGAAAGGCACTGCCCGCTGTCACCTCTGTGTGTACCACTTACTACCTGCCTCTGCCATCTAAGGGAAAATGGTTGGGTTTCTGTACCCCCTGCCTCTGCCCTTCCCCGCGCCCTTCTTCTCCTTCTACTTCTCCCCGAAAGGCACTGCCCGCTGCCACCTCTGTGCGTACCACTTGCCCAAACGGGAAATTGTCCGTGTTTCCTTGCTTACCACCTGCCTCTGCCCCTCGCCCTTCTTCTCCTTCTACTTCTTCCCCAAAGGCACTGCCCGCTGCCACCTCTGTGCGTACCACTTACTACCTGCCTCTGCTCCCAAAGGGATGTGGTTGGGTTTCTGTACTCCCTGCCAGGGTTTCGGGTTCGGGTTTAGGGTTTAGAGAACCCTCTGCCCCTCACCTTTCTTCCCCGGACTTCCCCTCAAAGGCACTGCTCGCTGCCACCTCTGTGCGTACCACCTGCCCTTGCTTGCTTGCTCCCTTACCACCTGCCTCTGCCCTCAAAAGGGGACGTGGGTAGGTTTCTGTACTCCCTGCCTCTGCCCCTCACCTTTCTTCCCCCTGGACTTCCCCTCAAGGCCACTGCCCGCTGCCACCTCTGTGCTTACCACCTGCCCTTGCGTGCCAGCTTGCTAGCTTACCACCTGTCTCTCTCTGTCCCCAAAGGCAGATTGCAAACTGTGTTTGCCAAAAGCCCTGGATGAGTTTCAATAGTCAGGACGACTTTTGAGACGTCTCAAAAGCCACCTGCCTCTGTCGCCAAAGGCAAACTGTGTTCTCCGAAATTCCCCGGATGAGTTTCAAGCAACAAGTTGGTTTGTGTGGTTGTTTTGATGCGTTCAGTACCCACCTTCCTATAGTCCTATGGCCTATAGCCATATGGCCTATGGCCTATTGAGTCGACTCAAGAATCGACCCTATGCTTTACCCATGCTTACCATGCCTACCCCATGCTTTATCCATGCTTACCCCATGTTTCACCCATGCTTACCCATGCGTGCAGTGCCAATTTTCCTGTCACCCTATGGACTCACATGCCCACTCATCCTCAGTGCTTACGGGCTCACAGAGACCGAATTCTTTCTCCAAAACAAGGTGAGGAGGGCTGCGCGTTTGGTGTCACATCACATCCGGTCACGTCAGATACTATTCATGTTCTCATATGCGCCCACTCATCCTCAGCGCTTACGGGCTCACAGAGACCGAATTCTTCCGCCAAAACAAGGTCTGAACGGCTTTGGTCGGGAATGTTGCATCACTCTTATTGGCTCGGCTCATCATGCAGCAACGTGTTTTGAGTCAACTCAAAACACGCCTTATTGGCTCGTCACATCATACAGCAGCAATCACTAGATGTTTTAGATCGGTTCCATAAACCATAAACCATAAACCAATCCACCCTTAATGGTTGGCTCTATTTGTGTTTGATGGGGGCCCAACTGTAAAGGATGGACTGGATTGGCACCCCAACGCAATGACAGCACACCCACAGTGGGTTATATGGTATGCACCCACAGTGGGTTATATGGTATGCACCCACAGTGGGTTATATGGTATGCACCCACAGTGGGTTATATGGTATGCACCCACGCATGTCAGCCCAACTGTAGAGTACAGCACACACAGTTTACAGGCAAACTAGCTTAGCAGTCTACAAGGTAATTTAACACCTCTCACTGGCCCTCACTGCCCCTCACTGCCCCTCACTGCCCCTCACTGCCCCTCATTGCCTCTCACCCCCCACTCCCCGTTGTTCTTTCCACCACCAGTGTTCCGCCTGACTCATCTCATCCCAATGTCTCCTTGTTCAATCTGGCATCTCTCCCTCCCTGTTCCAACCAACCAATCCCCTCCTTCATCTCTCCCTGTTCCAGTCAATTCTATTATCCATCTCACCTTGTTCCGACCACTCCAATCCTCCTGTCTCCTTGTTCTGACTGCAGGGGTTTAAATGCCGAGCGCCCATCCCTGTAAACACAATAGTCAACGTCACCAGCCGGGCGTTCTCGCCATGCACTGCCATGTACTCTGCTAGTTATGTAAGCGCCCTTGTGTTTATTTAAGTGCCAGTGTGTTGCAGGCGGTTTTCTTTCACAATTCTCAAAAACCTTCTTGACATGCACTGCCAGGCACTTTGTTAATTATGTAAGTGCCACGTAAGTGCCAGCGAGTTGCTGGCTATTTTCGACAATTCTCAAAGAATATTTTCCCATGCACTGCCATGCGCACTGCAATCGTTTGTAAGTGCTAGCGGCACTAACAGCAGCACTAATGCCCTCTCCTCCTCCCCCATTAAATTGCCGCACCACTTTCTCCATAACCCTGTGTTTGCCTTTTCCCTATCCCTCCCTCCATCTTTCCCTTCCCCGTGTGCTGGCAGGGTGGCACGTGCGCAACTCAATTAACGCTCTCCCCTGTCTCTCCCTCATTCACCCCACCACTCGCCCCAAACCCTATGTATACCTGCCCCCACCCCCTCCATCTCCTCCCACCCCCTCCATCTCCTCCCACCCCCGCCCCTGGTCCCGATGCGTCGGCAGTTTGGCACGTGTGGTGTGACTGCATCAATACCCTCTCCTCTTGAGTCGACTCAAAAGCCGCATCAATACCCTCTCCTCCCCCACTGTCTCTCGGCTGCCGTGCCCACTCACCCACCCACTTTTCGCCCCCGTTCCCATTCCCTTCGTCTTCCCACCCCAATGTGCCAGAGTGACACGTGTGAGTCACTGAACGCCCTCTCCTCCACTCTAGTTTTGAGGCGCCTCAAAACTGAACGCCCTCTCCTCCACTCTAGTTTTGAGGCGCCTCAAAACTGAACGCCCTGTCCTCCACTCTAGTTTTGAGGCGCCTCAAAACTGAACGCCCTCTCCTCCACTCTAGTTTTGAGGCGCCTCAAAACTGAACGCCCTCTCCTCCACTCTAGTTTTGAGGCGCCTCAAAACTGAACGCCCTCTCCTCGACTGTCTCTCAACTGCCGTGCCCACTCACCCACTTTTTGCCGCGTTCCCCTTGCCTTGCCTACTGAACTGACCCAGTTTTCGCCCCCATTCCCACTCCCTTCGTCTCCTCTCCCTCCCTCCCTGTGTGCTGGCAGGGTGACACGTGTGACTCACTCAATGCCCTCTTCTCCACGCAGATACAGCCACTCAACCCCGCCCTCAGCTGCTCTGACGGGCCCAGGCCCGGCCAGGTGAGCAACGGTGCAGGTGGGTGCAGGTGGGTGCAGGTGTGTGTAAGGGGGTGTAGATGGGTGTAAGTGGATGCAGCCCATAGCACATTGGGGACTTTGGAGAGATGCGGCAATATCATGAGCTGACTTTTGAGTCGGCTCAAAAGTCGAATTCGGTGAGCTGCGGCATTATCACGGTATGGCATGAATTCACATCGCACTGTTTCAAATCGTATCGCATCGCGTCTCATCACTCACATCACATCACCTCACACAAAATTTAATGCATATTAACAACTCTCCCCTTCCCCCTCTCCACTCCCCTTTCTCCCCACTCCCTTCTTCCCCTCTCTCCTCCCCACCCCCACCCCCCCCCCCCCCCGGGCTTCAGCTCCTCTGTGTAGACTTCAACCAAACGTGGCTAGAATTGGGAAAAACCCACCTGGAATGCAACCACTATGCGCAAATCACCCCAACCGCAACCACAACCCCATCCCCACCCACCCCCGCTGGGATTCAACCACCCAAGTCTAAGAGCCAAGGGGCGGCAATGACTGAGCCAATCCTTCAACCACCCCCTCTTGTAGCCAACTACGCGAGCCAAGGCATGCTCGTCACTGAGCGGGGCCCTCAACCACCTCCCCTCCTAGCCAACTATACAAGCCAAGGCGTGTTAGTGACTGTGCTGCAGGGCCCGCAGAGCTGCCAGCAGCTGTGGCGGGCGTTTGCCATCTCCTCCCCCACGCGCTTCTTCCAGATGAATCCCGGCGTCTCCTGCGACTCGCTGCTTCCACACAGCCCCCTGCAGGGCAACATGATGAGCAAGGTGCGCTGGGTTGCATGGCCTGTGTGTGGGGTGTGGGGTGTGGGGTGTGCGGTGTGGGGTGTGGGGTGTGGGGTGTGCGGTGTGGGGTGTGGGGTGTGGGGTGTGCGGTGTGGGGTGAAAAAGTGAGGGTCATGCTCCTGCCACACAGCCCCCTGCAGGGCAACATGATGAGTCGGGGGAGCTGGGCCAGGATGTTTTTGAGAATTCTTGAAACCTGAGAATTCTCAAAAACTCCCTGCTGGGCCAGGAAGGTCTGAGTATATTTTTTAGGCGCCTCAGAAACTGCTGGGCTAGGAGGGTATGAGTATCCGCTCTCTCACCTGCCTTGGGAAAAGCAGCTTTTGAGTCGACTCAGAACAAGGTGACTTTTGATACGACTCAAATGTCTGTTCGCACACTCATCTGGTATGAAAAATGGCCCCGTTAAGGGGGGTTGAAGGGGGGGAGAGTGAACCTTCTGCAGTGCCTTCATCCTTACACGCTTCTTCTAGATGTCTAATATCAGACTCTGGTGCGATCCCTTCCCTGCTACTATGCTTGCTTGCAGATTTGAGTGGCTGGCACCGACACGTGGCCGTGCTCTGGCTTTACATGTCCAACTAAGAGACGCTTTTCTAGTCGCCTAATAAATCTTTTCCTTTCCTCCCATTCCCACTGATTGGTTGACTTGCAGATTTGTGTGGCTGGCACGGACACTCGACCCTTCTCTGGTTTTATATGTGCGACCAAGAGACCGTACAGTGTGAAGCACGGGGATACATGCGGCATGTTGATCGCCAAGAAGTATCGACGCAGCACTGATGTGTTTAGGGACCTTAACAATGGATATGATTGTACAGTGAGTAGGTTATATGCTGGCATGTTGCTTTGTTTGCCTTGAATAAGATAGGTAGTTCAATTTTACCGGTAATTTGTTATTGTAAGCTAAAATTGGAATGTTACGGCACCAAGTATGGTACAATGATCGCACTGTAGCATGCATTTTGTATCAGAAGCGCGGTATGGTGCTGGCAGCAGGGTAAATGAGCCGGGTGGGCCTGATTACCCTGACTTTCAGGGTGTGCTTGTTTTTGTTTTACCTGTATGCAAATACTATAGCAAATTTATTACCAATTCAAAAGCAGGGTTCAGGAAGGCTGGCTCTGACTGACAGAGTGCCTGAGCCATTCTTATGTACCACAAGAACCTCAAAGAGAGTTCTTGTCATGTCGTGCACATAAAAAAGGCCACTCCGTAAGCCTGTTCCTGCTAGACAAATCGCTCGCCCCACCTGATCTCATCAGGCCCGCCAAAGTCCCCCTTCCCCTATCCCTATCACCACTCCCTCGCTGCCAAAATCCCCTCCTGCCTTTCCCCACTCCTCCCTTCCCCACTCCACCCTGGACCATACCCCCCTGTCTCTTCCCAAATCGCGTTCCTCTTGCTGCCGCTCCCTCCCTGCCCATTGCCCAAGTCCCCACTTGCCTGTCCCCACTCCTCCCTGCCCTGTCCAGTGCCCTGCCCAACTCCGCCCTGACCAGGCCAATCACCATACCCCCCGCCCGCCCCGTGTCTTCCCGAATCCCCTTCCTCCTGCCGCCCCTCCTAACCCAAGTCTCTGTGAGCCTCCTGTCATCCTCCCCCATCGCAGCCCAAGCTCCACGCCGTTCGTACGGTACCGCTTGTCTTGTCATTAACCATCCCAGCAGCCCAAGGCCCCCTTCCGTACCTCTTGAGTCGACTCAAAAGTCACCTTCCCTATCGCAGCCCAAGCTCCACGCCGTTCGTACGGTACCTCTTGTCTTGTCATCAACCATCCCCGAGGCCCAAGGCCCCCTTCCGTACCTCTTGTCTTGTCGTCAACCCATCCCGGCCCAAGCCTCCCCTCCCCTCCATACCTCGCGTCTGTCACCCCATCCCGGCCCAAGCCCCCCTTCCATACCTCTTGTATTGTCGTCGCCACGTCACCCCATCCCGGCCCAAGCCTCTTGTATTTGGCATTTACGCAGATGATGAGCGAATGAATATTAAGGTAGGCAAAGCATCATGCCAGCCCACAACTTATTCACGGTACAATCATATCCGTTATTAAGTTCTCTAAACATGTCAGCGCTGCGTCGATACCTCTTAGCAATCAGCAAGCCACACGTATCGCCGCGTTTCACAGTGTATGATCGCTTGGTTGAGCAGGTCAGGCCAGAGTACGGTCGAGAGTCGGTAGCAGCAACACAAACCTGAGAACCACCAAAAGTGGGGACAGAACGGAAGGGAAGAATACACTTTTGAGGCGCCACAAAAGTCGTTTCACAGTGTATGATCGCTTGGTTGAGCAGGTCAGGCCAGAGTACGGCCGAGAGTCGGTAGCAGCAACACAAACCTGTGAATCACCAAGAGTGGGGACAGAACAGAAGGGGAGAACAACTTTTGAGGCGCCTCAGAAGTCGTTTCGTTTCACACTGTATGGGCTCTTGGTTGAGCATGTCAGGCCAGAGTACGGTCAAGAGTAAGTAGCAGCCACTCAAACCTGAGAGAGGCACCAAGAGAGGGAACAGAACGGAAGGGGGGAAAACGTTGAGGCGTCTCAAAAGTCGTTTCACACTGTATGGCCTCTTGGTTGAGCATGTCAGGCCAGAGTACGGTCGAGAGTCGGTAGCAGCCACACCAACCGGCAAACCACCAAGAGTTGGGACAGAACAGAAGGGAACAATTGGCCTGAATTGGTAGGTAAGGAATCGCACGAGGACCCCCCAAGATTCTTACAGCAAGTGGAGGGGAAACTGCACACTCAGTCCCCCCTCCCCTCTCCTTCACCCACCCCCCCTCCCCTTCACTTCTCCCTTATCCCTTTCCCCACCACCTCCCACCGCCCTCAACCCATACACACGGGCATTCCGACTCACCTTCCTCATCATATTCCCCTGCAGGGGGCTGTGCGGCAGCAGAGAGTCGCACGAGAGGCCGGGATTCATCTGGAAGAAGCGCGTGGGGGAGGCGATGGAAAACGCCCGCCACAGCTGCTGGCAGCTCTGCGGGCCCTGCACCACAGTCACCAGCGCTCCGTCACTCGTGTAATTGGCTAGAGGAGGAGGTGGTGGAGGGCTGGGTGTGGCTCCGGTTGCTGTTGGGGTGATTTGGGCTAAGAGGTCGCATGGTACGCGGGTTTTTCCCTGTTCTAGCCACGTTTGGTTGAAGTCCACACATAGGAGCTGAAGAGGGGGGCGGGTGGGGAGGAGAGAGTGATCCTTGAGAGAGCGACTCAAACAATCGACTTATCAACTCTAGCCACGTTTGGTTGAAGTCCACACATAGGAGCTGAAGAGGGGGGCGGGTGGGGAGGAGAGAGTGATCCTTGAGAGAGCGACTCAAACAATCGACTTATCAACTCTAGCCACGTTTGGTTGAAGTCCACACATAGGAGCTGAAGAGGGGGGCGGGTGGGGAGGAGAGAGTGATTCTTGAGAGAGCGACTCAAACAATCGACTTATCAACTCTAGCCACGTTTGGTTGAAGTCCACACATAGGAGCTGGGACGTAGGGGCAAGGGGGAGCGGGGGGCAAGGGGGGAGAGGAAGCAGAGAGGAGAGAAGGGTGGGAGGATGTGTGAGTGAATACCCGCTCACACCTGCACACACCTGCACACACCCGCTCACACCTGCACTCACACCCACTCACACCCACTAACACCCACTCACACCCACTCACACCCACTCACACCCACTCACACCCACTCTCACCCACTCACACCCACTCACACCCACTCTCACCCACTCGCCCCCACTCACACCCACTCTCACCCACTCACACCCACTCGCCCCCACTTGCACCCACTTGCACCCACCTGCACCCACTTGCACCCACCTGCACCCACTTGCACCCACCTGCACCCACTTGCACCCACCTGCACCCACTTGCACCCACCTGCACCATTGCTCACCTGGCTGGGCCTGGGCCCGTCAGAGCAGCTGAGCGCGGGGTTGAGCGGCTGTATCTGCGTGGAGAAGAGGGCATTGAGTGAATCACACGTGTCACCCTGCCGGCAGGCACACGGGCACGGGAGGGGGGGTGGGGATAGGGGGGGTGAGGGATGGAAGGATGGAGGGAGAGAGTGAGGACAGACAAACACAGGGTCATGGGCCCAGTAGAGAAGAGGGTGTTGAGTGAGTCACACGTGTCACCCTGCCGGCAGGCACATCGGGACCGAACCAGGGACGGGGAGACGAGGGAAGGGGAATGGGGGTGAAAACTGAGTGAGTGGGCAAGGCCAGAGAGAGGAGAAGAGGGAGCTGAGTGAATCACGCGTGTCACCCTGCACTCCACACACATGGGGAGGGAGGGAGGGAGGGAGGGTGGGGGGGAAGGGGGGATGGAAGGATGGGGAAAGTGGGATGGGAGCAGGCAAACACAGGGTTATGGGGTGAGTGGTGGTGCGATAAAGAGAGCAGAGAAGAGGGCGTTAGTGCCAAAATCAAGTGCCAGGCGATTACATAAATGCTGCACTTACGTAAACGCGGGCACTTACATAATTAGCAGTGTACATGGCAGTGCATTGGGAGAAAGCCCGGCTGGTGATGTTAACCAGAGTGTCTACAGGGATGGGCGCTCTGCACTGGAACCCCTGCACGACGGGCAAGGAGGGGCAATGAGGGGCGGTGACACAATAAGAGGCAATGCAGGACAGGTGACTAGAAGGGGAGCAGTATTGCAATTGTCAGTTTTTTTTCAAATAACCCAACCAGCCAGATTGCCTTTTGAGTCGACTCAAAAATCGCTGTGTTGTGCCCTGTAACCTGTTCTGATCGCCTTATCTGAAACACGTCACAAGCCTAACCTTGTTTTGGCTGAAAAAGTCGACCGGAGTGAGCCCGTAAGTGTTGAGGATAAGCACGCATGTGACTTTTGCGGCGCCTCAAAGGCCCACCTGACTGACAACCTTTGTGAAATCCGTCAAGAGGCTGACCTAGAGGCTGACCTTGGAATGGCTGAAGAAGTCCGCTTGGGTGAGCCCGTAAGTGTGATGCAACATCACCTGATGTGATGTTATGTGACATGACCAAAGTCTTTCATACTTTGTTTTGGCTGAAGAAGTCCGCTTGGGTGAGCCCATAGGTGTTGAGGATGAGAGGGCATGTGAGGCCGTATGGAGACAGGAAGGTGGGCATTCGAACCTCGATCAATTGCACTGCATGCATGGGGTAAGCATGGGTTAAGCATGGGATAATCATTGGGTAAACATGGGGTAAAAAAGAGGTAGGCAAGTCACTGCAAGCAGCAAGGCAGAGGTGACGCTTGAATTGACTCAGATGCAAGAGCAGAAGATACAATTTCATCATTCAGAAGGATGGGCTTGATATCAAAGACCAACGTGAGCACTGAGTAAGCAGATTTTTGAGACGTCTCAAAATTGTTGAGACGCCACGTGTAGAAAGAAGATTTTTGAGACGTCTAAAAAATTCAAGGTCATCATTCAGAAGGATGGGCTGGATATCCAAGACCAATGTGAGCACTGAGCAAGCAGAGCCAACAAACCAAGCTCTGTTTAAACCAAGTCCAGTGCTGCTTAAGACTAGGGCTTTAGGCGGCCAATGTGAGCACTGAGCAAGCAGAGCCAACAAACCAAGTGCTGTGCTGCTTGAGACTCGTCCAGGGATTTAGGCAGACAGCACCCTTCGAGGGCAAAGGCAGGTAGCAAGCAAGTAAGCAAATAAGCAAGTAAGCAAGGGCAAGACCAAAGTAAGGACTGAACAAGTAAAGCCAACAAACCAAGCTCTGCACTGCTTGATTTTGAGTCAACTCAAGGGCAGAATTAAAGCCCAATGTGAGCACTGAGCAAGCAGAGCGAACAAACCAAGCGCTGCGCTGCTTGAGACTCCATTCAGGCCTTTAGGCGGACAGAACCCTAAGCCCTTTGAGGGCAAAGGCAGGTAGCAAGCAAGGGCAAGTGTTACGCACACTGGTAACAGCGGGCAGAGCCTTTGGGGTAGAAATAGAAGGGGAAGTAGGGCGAGGGGCAGAGGCAGGAGTAGGTGCCGTCTATGTCGTCAATGCACACCCCCGGGGCACATGGGTTGCTGGCGAGCTGGCGACACGTGTAGGCCTCTGGTGAGGGGACGATGGGGGAGGGGAAAGAGAATTGGGGGGGAAGGGGGGGGCAGAGAGGGGAGAGAGGAGTGAGTGAGTGAGCAGCTGTCGATGCATCCCCCGGGGCGCATGGGTTGCTGGCGAGCTGGCGACACGTGAAGGTCTCTGGTGACGGGACGATGGGGGAGGGGGGATTGGGAAAATCAGAGTGAAAAGGGGGCAGGTATAGGAGCCATCTATGCTGTCTGTACACAGCATTCATGCACACCCCCGGTGCACATAGGTTGCTGGCGAGCTGGCGACACGTGAAGGTCTCTGGTGAGCGGATGGAGAGAAGGGAAGAGTAGGAAAATCAGAGGGGCAGAGGCAGGGGCAGAGGCAGGTGTAGGTGCCGTCTATGTCATCCATGCACACCCCCGGGGCACATGGGTTGGCGGGGAGCTGGAGACAAGTGAAGGAATCTGGTTAAGAGAGGGAGAGAGGGGTGGGGTGGGGACGAGAATGGGGGGAGTGGGAAGAGAACAGGAGTGAGTGAACAGCACACCAGCACAACGTCAATGCACACCCCAGGGGCACATGGGTTGAGAAAGGAGGAGCAAGCGGAAATGAGGAGGAAGGGGATGAGCGGGAGAGGGAAAAGGTGGTGGGAGAGAAAGGAGAGGAGAGGATAAAAGGGGATACTGCAGGAGCAGCCATAGTGGATTGGAGTGCACACTTTTGAGAAATTTCAAGAGGAAATAAAACAAATCAGGAAAAAAAGTGTGTACGATTGCATATTCTCAAGGGAGTTGAGAATCGAGAACGAGTGCATCCCCATACAAACCAAAAGGGTACTTAACTCCACTTACCACACTCTACTTACCACACTCCACTTACCACACTCCACCTACCACACTCCACCTCTTGCCTACCGCACTCCACGTCTCACCTACCACACTCCACCTCTTGCCTACCCCACTCCACCTTTTGCCGACCGCACTCCACACCTTGCCTACCGCACTCCACACCTTGCCTACCGCACTCCACACCTTGCCTACCCCACTCCACGTCTCACCAGGGAAGCAGGAGGGCAGGCCGGTAAGATGAGAAGGTTGGAAGGAGGGGAGATTGAAAGGGCACTTGCAGGAGGGCAGGAGGACAGACGGGTCCCACGGGGCAGGTGCCTTGGTGCATGCACCCATGCCACAGGGGAGCACTGGAGAACCCTTGCAGGGGTCGGTGTCTGATGGGGAGGGGGGATATGGAGAGCAAAGGAACGTGAGGAAAAAGGGTCTGCGGCAGGGGGGGAGTGAAGAGAGCGAGGGTGTGAGGCACGAGGATAGACGGGTCCCACTGGGCAGGTGCCTTGGTGCATGCACCCGTGCCACAGGGGAGCACTGGAGAGGCCTTGCAGGGGTCGGTGTCTGATGGGGAGGGATGAAGGGTGTGAGGCAGGCAGAGGGTGAGGTGAGGAGAGAGAGGGTGTGAGGCACGGGGCTAGATGGGTCCCACTGGGCAGGTGCCTTGGTGCATGCACCCGTGCCACAGGGAAGCACCGGAGAGGCCTTTCAGGGGTCAGTGTCTGTTGAGGTGGGGAAGCAGTGAGAGGGACAAGGAGTGGGAGGGAAGGTGTTGGGGGGAGGAGAGGTGAGTCTCCCGTAAAGCAGGTAGGTAACTTAAGGGGGAGGGGGGGATACTTGGCAACAAGATGGAAAACCCTTACTTACTTCCCCCCTGGCTATGTGAAGTGAGGGTGTTTTTGAGACGTCTCAAGATGGAAGACCCTTACTTACTTCCCCCCTGGCTTTTAAGTCGACTCAAAAGCTTCCCCCCTGGCTTTTAAGTCGACTCAAAAGCTTCCCCCCTGGCTTTTAAGTCGACTCAAAAGCTTCCCCCCTGGCTTTTAAGTCGACTCAAAAGCTTCCCCCCTGGCTTTTAAGTCGACTCAAAAGCTTCCCCCCTGGCTTTTAAGTCGACTCAAAAGCTTCCCCCCTGGCTTTTAAGTCGACTCAAAAGCTTCCCCCCTGGCTTTTAAGTCGACTCAAAAGCTTCCCCCCTGGCTTTTAAGTCGACTCAAAAGCTTCCCCCCTGGCTTTTAAGTCGACTCAAAAGCTTCCCCCCTGGCTTTTAAGTCGACTCAAAAGCTTCCCCCCTGGCTTTTAAGTCGACTCAGAGGTTGCCTCCCTTGCTCTCTCTCGGTGCCCTCTCTCCCTCTCTCCCCCTCTAACTAACTCTTCCTTCCCCTCCTTGGCCCCTTCCAATTCTCCCCACCTTCCCTTCTCTCCCCCTCCCACTGCCTTCTCATCCCCTCCTCCTCCTTTCTCCCTACCTGTGAATCGGAAGGTCCAGGAGGAGAGGGCGACGGGGGAAGGCAGGGCACGTGGCTCACTAGCCCTTCTCTCTTTCCTACCCCCCATCTCGCCCACTTCCCCTCTCCCTACCTGTGAATCGGAAGGTCCAGGAGGAGAGGGCGACGGGGGAAGGCAGGGCACGTGGCTCACTAGCCCTTCTCTCTTTCCTACCCCCCATCTCGCCCACTTCCCCTCTCCCTACCTGTGAATCGGAAGGTCCAGGAGGAGAGGGCGACGGGGGAGGGCAGGCGGCCAGGGGGGGGAGGGAGAGCAGCGCTGGTGAACCCAACGACCAGCTGCCCAAAGGATGGCGACGACAGGTCCGTCACACTGCTGCTGCTACCACTACTGTCACCGCTGCCACCACTGCTGCTGCTGTTGCCGCCGCTGCCACTGCTGCTTCCGCTGGTGTCAGCAGCACCAGAGAGAGCAGCACAGAGGTCAATGGTAACCCTCATGCGGGTTTTCAGAAGCGGAGGGCGGTACCATCTGATCAGCATCTCCTTGCTGCTCCCGTTATAGTCCACCCTCATCTGCCACACCTCGTCCGACTCCACAACATCTAACACCTTCTTTGCGAAAATTGACGTCATGTTGAAATCGGTGTTTACGCCGATGTGAATATCATTTATATCGGCCATTTCCAGGTTTGCTACAGTGTCCCACTCCACAGCTACACTCCGCGCGCCGTCCGGCCAGCTGCCATTAGCGAGTCGCGAGGAGGGGTCCCGGCCGTACCCCATATAAGCCCCGCCCAGGCCCACGCTCGCATGTGTGCTTATAACGAACACGAGCCCTTGGGAAGCTGTTCTATTCATGGAAAAGCCATATGTGAAGGTGAAAGAACGAGCCATACAGGTTGGGGGTTTGGTTGCTGTGGGTTGGGGAGGTGAGGAGGAGGAAGGAGAGGAGCGGGGTGAGCTTTTGCACGCACGAGGAAAGGGAGGAGGAGGGAAGGGAGGAAAGGAGGAGGAGTAGAGGAGGGGGAGACGACGAGGGAAGTAGAGGGCCCCAGGGGTGGGATCGTCTGATTGGCTGGTGGAGGATGATGCCACGTCAGCAGCAGCGACGGAGAGGTCTGCGGCGAAGAAACGCTTCCGTGTGCTGCCACGTGTCAGCAGGGGAGTGGCTGGCGTGATGTAGGGGAAGGAGAACGAGTCTGCCGCCCAAAACAGAAGCGGATCCTCGGCTGATGGGGTGAACGGGGGGAAGGGGGAACGGAAGGGGAGGAGACGGGAGAGGAGGGAGAAGGAGAGGGTTGGGTGAAAGCGAGAGGACATCGAACCAATTCATATGCTAAGTGATGGGTAGGCATTACAAGGACACTTGTCAGCTGCCATGTGATGTGTCTGATTCCTCCCCTTACCTGCCTGTCTACCTGCCTCCTCAGAACATTGCAGGCCTAAAACAGGCCTGGGGATGACACTTGAACTGAACTCACCATCCTCGGAGTCAAACTTCCATCGTAGAGCCTCATGTGTTGACGAGAAAAGGCCCCACCTCGCTTGGTCGAAGCCGACTTCGTTGTCCCACCTCGATGGAGCTGTCTTCGGCGGTCAACCGACTTCAGCAAAGCCGACCACTGCAAAACCGACTTCAACGAACGGCGAAGCCGACATTGTGGTCTGCGTTGACTTCGCGGAGCAAGTCGGACTTCGCGGAGCAAGTCGGAATGGTTAGCCGATGGTTAGCCGACTTCGGGGATCGACCACAGCAGAGCTGATTTCGGCGAAGCCGGCCATGGCATAGGCCGACGAAGTGAAGTCGGTGGTTGACGAAGGTCGTCGACATGACGCCGAATTGCCGGCGCCGGCAACCTGGTCGACAAAGTCCTGCGAGGGGTGCGCGAACGTCGTCCAGGTGGTTTTGACGAAGCCGACCTACGTGCAATATCACGTGCGCACGAGGTCTGCGCGGCACATTTGGCGCAACTTTCGACACGTGGCCGAACGCTGAGCAATGTGCGTGACGGTGCACAGTCAACAGTCTACCTGCACCTAAGAAGCAGGTGCGCGCACATGCGCATATAGTGACCTGCGGTTGCAACGTTCGCAAGCCGCCTTGCTGCAGCGCTGGCAAGTCGCACTGGTGCGCTGCTGACAGGTCGCCGACTTTCAGCGTTAGCAAGCCACCTTTGAGTTGCGTTGGCACGCCGTTGACTTGCCGCGCTGGCAGGCCGCCCCCGCGCTATGCTATGGATCAATTAGCCTGTTGCTAGTCTTGCTAGGTCCCAGATAGTCACCATGGCCACTCAAGTTTTCATAGTGAAACTCTTACCAATTTGCTCTGTGAGTGCGCAACTAGAGAGAACACGAGCAAACGATACGATCACTCATACCACCCGTGCCTTCCCCAGTAGTTCAACTTCCGATCTAGAATGACTCTCCATATCATGCGGGTACTAAACACGGCCGATGTTGATACATAACATACACATCCCTGAAAGTCACTTACCTTGGGTGGGCCACTTGCAAGTGTTGAAAAACACGAAATGATCCTATAGAATAATAAGAACAGGAATGAGGGCACTCGAACTCACCCTCCCCTACTTCAAACTTCCACCCTAGCACCTCATGCGCCTGAGCCTGCTCCGCCCCCTTGCCCGTGGCCGCTGTGAATCCCACAAACAGCGGCGTGGGAGGGGCTGCTGCCTCCGGGTCGTTCCCCCCCAGCCACTCGCAGGTGTCCAGGAATGTGCTCAGCACGGCCGAGCGCGGGAGAGGGGGGGCGGAGTAGGAGGAGGAGCGAGAAGAGGAGGAGGAGGAGGAGGAGGAGGAGGAGGAGGAGGAGGAGGAGGAGGAGGAGGAGGAGGAGGAGGAAGGGCGGGTCAACCGAGGGAAACCAGGGAAGCGAGGGGAGAAGCGAGAGGGGGAGGGGGAACGGGAGGAGGAGGGGGCAGGGGAGATCCAGACGGTGAGGTGGGAGGAGGAGGCGTTGTAGTGGATGGTGGCGAGGAGGGTTTGACCGGCGTTGAGGGCGGGAATGCCGAGGGGGTGCACGGGGGCAGAGGCGAGAGAGAGCATGCTGCCGTGCAGGTTCACCCCCACGTGGTGGTCGGGGCGGTCGAAGAATTCAGGGGAAGAGGATGTGTCAAACTCCACTGCCAGGCTCCTGTGCTGCTGCGCGAATTGGGGGGGAAAGCAGGAAAGGTGGGATGGGGCATATTGAGAGATTCAGATGTAGAATTCCACTACAATAGCAGTTATATAAAGCTCGAAAGCACGATTTCAAGTAACCAAAGATTAAAAATGTCAACCATGGCCAAAGATACACGCATACATATGAGCGGTGGTAACTTCGTTAATTGTTTAGCTGAGTTTTAGCGACTGAAATTCCGTAGACGAGAATTTCCGCGACCAGAATTCTGTCAACTGACAAAATGTAATTCCTGTTCTAGGAAGACACTTTTGAGACAGTTGGGTCGAAAGATCTCCAGTTCAAATCTTGCTTGCACCATATATTGTCTGTTTGCGTAACTCATCCCGAATCTGTCCAGAGACACTGTATATTGACAATCACGGCTTCAAACCCATGGCAGCTTTTCCTTCTAACAAAGACATAATTCCAAACGTCATGACTGGTCTCGCCATGCCCAGACACCTAATTCTGCACCATTGAGACCGAGATTTGAAACGCAAGAGGAGGTGTGCCTGAGATAAGGCTAAGATGACACGTACCTGAGATGACACTGCACCAATGGAGCCGGAATCATCAGCACCAATTGTACTCCCCGGGGGCAGCAGCAGGCGGCCGTAGCCCAGGGACGGCCCCGGAAGGCCGAGCGTGGGAGACGGCAGCATCACAAACGCCAAGCCCTCGCCGCCCAGCCCCGCGGCGTTGGGGGAGGAGATGCGCAAGGCAAAGGAGGTGGAGAAGGAGAAGGGGCGGCAGGGGGAGGAGGGCGTGGCAGGGGCGAGCAGGGCGAAGGGGGCAGGGTGCAACGCGAGAGCAGCAGCGCTGAGGTCGGAGAGCGTGGTGAGGGAGAGGGAGGAGCGGTTGCGACGTGCTGAGCCGGCTGTGAGGAGCGGGTGGGAGCTGGAGAGCGGCCAGTGGGAGAAGGACTTGAGGGGGGAGGGGTCGGCTGCAGGGCAGTGGGGGGAATGGGGAGTGGTGGGGGGGGATGGGGAGTGGAAGGGGGTGGGGGAAGGTGAAGGGGGGCGAAGAGTGGGAACAGAAGGGAAAAGAGGGGGATCGATGAGCAGAGCACATGAGTGGGGGGTTGGAACTTGGATGTTGAGAAAAGGTGCAGCGCATGCTTTCAGTTTGCTGTGCGGTGCAGCGCATGCTTTCAGTGTGCTGTGCGGTGCAGCGCATGCTTTCAGTGTGCTGTGCGGTGCAGCGCATGCTTTCAGTGTGCTGTGCGGTGCAGCGCATGCTTCAATGCGCAGCGCAACACATGCATTCTACCATCATGCCTGTGACACACCAGTTACCCTGTCAACCATTTCTGACTTTCTGACTCACTGCGAGTGGGCATGACAGACGCAAGGTCGATAGCCATGCTCCCCGCTTCCAACGCCACACCCAACCGCCTGTCCGCACCTACCTCCCCCGCTCACTCACCTGAGACTCTATCCCTCCGTACACCCCACCACACTGCCTCTCTCCTCACTCACTGCGAGTGGACATGACAGACGCAAGGTCGATGGCTGCTCCCCGCTTCCAACGCCACTCCCACGCTTCCCTTCCGCCTGTCCGCACCTACCTCCCCCTCTCACTCACCTGTGACTATCCCTCCGTGCACCCTGCCACACTGACTGTCCCTCTCTCACCCACACTCACTGCGAGTGGGCATGACAGACGCAAAGTCGATGGCACTGCTCCCCGCTTCCAACGCCACTCCCTCTCTCTTCATCCCCACCTTCGCTCCCGCACCTGCTCCCCCTCCCGTACTCGCAGCAACAGTGAACGCGGCTGCTGCCGCCCTTGCTCCCACAACCCCCCCTGCTACTGTCTCACGTTGAGATACAGGCGCGGCATCCCCTGCTGCTATCCGCCCAGCTGCTGGTGCTGCTGCTGCTGCCCCTGCTCCTGCTGCTCTCGTCAGCCCAGAGCTCCGGAACCGCCGTGGCCCCCAGGCCCGCCTGAGCAAGGAGAGCGGTAGCCTGGGGAACCGGAGCAGCCTTTGCAGGGCGGATGCAGCGTGGGAAAGAGCGGGGCGTGACGCTGATCGGATCAGGAGGCCCAAGGAGGAGATGGTAAAGCCGCTGCCCCCCCTGCTGTCAACAATAGTGCTGCTGCTGCTGGTTGTGGCTGTGTGGCTGGTGGCGCCGGTTCTACTGCTGTCACTGCTGCTGCTGGCAACACCGCTGACGGTGGCGACGGTGGCAACAGCGCTGGCGGTGGCGATGGTGGCAGTACTGCTGCTGGTGCTGCTGTTACTGCCTTGCATGGCTCGAATCACCAAGTGCAGCGTCACTCCCCCCTCAGGAACTACCAACGAGGCGATGGAAGAGGAAGAGGAGGAAGAAGAGGAGGAGGAAGAGGAGGGGGAATTCGGGGGGTCAGGGAGGGTGAAGAGGAGGGGTCCCACTTGGAACCAAGGCAAGGCGCCGGACAAACTCGCGCTGCTCCCCCCACACGGCACACCCACCCTCCACTCCCCCCACACCTGCTCCCCCGCTCCTCCATCCCCCGCCCCTCCCCCAGCTGCTGCCCCTCCCCCCCCTGCTGCCCCTCCCCCTGCAGCGGCGGCGGCGGAAGCGTTGAGCGGAACTGCCAGCAGCAGCACCTTCAACAGCCGCTCCCCCTCCCCGTCCGCACCCCCTCCCCCCTCCGCGCACAGGCTGGCGCGCGCAAAGAACGAGACGGACAGCTGGCGCGGGGACTGCTGCTGCTGCGCTTGCTGCGAGACATTGTTGGTCTGCGCCGCGGGTTTGAGTTCGCACAGCGCTTGCGACACGCCTGGGCCGCCAAACGCGCTGCTAATACTACTGCTACTACCGCTGCTAGACGACGCGGGAAAGACGGAAGTCAGCCGTAAAAAACGGGACCCGTCAGCTGCCAGTAGGGTGTCCGTGACTCCTGTGACCCCGTTCCTGATTGACACGTCAGCAGGTGACGCCGGCCCCCCTCCTGCTGTCGCGACCGCTTCCGCCAGAGTCGCACCCGCTGGAGCAAACAATGTTCCGCGGTTTCCGCCGCCAGTTGCGGTAGCTAAGAACTCGTCGCTTAAGAAGGATTCCCCAGGTTCCAGCGCGCGCCACGGGAATAAATACGCCCATGGATCGCACGACGCGTTCAGCTTCTTGCGACGCCATCCTATATCGAGACAGCCTGTATCGAAGCTTGGGTTCGAGAGGAGATTTGACGGTTCACCTGTGACGGCCAAAGAAGAGGGGGTATAATGACAGATAATATAAAATTTACTGGGTAATTGAGCGGGTAGCAACGAGACCTCTAAAGATACAGTTTTGCCAGCTCAGCTGCACGTTGACGGCAACATCTAGGGTATGAACGAATAAACGGGAGGAGCGGAATGCATACCGGCACGCGACCGTAAAGGGGCTTACATTGAGAGGAGGAAGAAGGGGGTATGGTAGGAGGCAATAGGAACGAGTTAAATGTGGAATTATCAATACGTCTGGAGAGTGACGAATGATGATTCTATGGGGACCCGTCTCTACTAAAGGTGTGCTTACGACTCGACTAGATATAATAGTGACGAAACCGTAATTGGCGGTGATACCAAGAACGGGAGAAGCGGGGCCTCTTACTTGGATTCGTTAGGTTATAGCAGTCGACGAGACCGCGAGCGACACGAACGAAGGCTACGAAATATAGGAGAAACGTAACCCGTCGGAATTTCGCGACACAGTGAAGGCTCGTGGCCGCTGGGTGAACCCGCAATCTGCGGCGATAAATGCGGAAGTAATCCATCTGCTCCGACACGGTCTCAGAATAAAAATTCTCTAAATAAACTACGCTCTGCGATTGGTTGCATTCTGAAAGAGGCGTCGGACGTTTCTGAGCAAATCCCGGACTGACACTTGCCATTCCGAGCCGGCCTGTCACGGCGAGCGTATTGGGACTGTCTGGCCAAAGCTATGGCGATAGCTACTCGCCACATCTTATACTAAACGGTTGTTTTGTTGCCATGGATGTGCGGGGGTGAGACAAGTGGAATGAAGGGTACAGTACAGTATTTCATGTTGCAACTTGCCAGTCAGTCCCTTCCCTTGCCTTACGTACCTTGAAGAAAGTTCCAGTTGCACTCAGCCACTCAATCAGCCAAGTGCGTGTCGGTGCGCCGACGACTATGGGAGGGAGGTTGGGGTGGCAGCTGCAAATTGCCCTGATCGACTTGTTTTCACCGCACTGCAACCTTGCTAATCTCTATTGCAACTTGGGGAACCGTGACCAAACACTTACAAAAGGGTAGGATGAGGGGGCAATCCAACTGGCTGGTCTGGTCCCCGACGTGCACCGTCTCTTCCATTGGAACTTGGGATGAATGGAAAAACTCAACACGAGGTGCGTGGATTTTTCCTACCTCAGTGCTGTCTGACTGGAGGTTTCGGCAGGCTCTCCAACTCTACAAGATCATACTTCTGTATGGGTTCTGCGACACGCCACGCCGGGAAAATATGCATTCTGTAATAAACAGTGGCCTCGATATTTTGTTTGGTGATAAGGGTGTTTTCACGCGGATAGTACACCTGATTCTCGTTTGAGTGGTTGCCTTGTGATGAAGGCGCGTAAATGATTCTTGCATTTCGCAAAGGTTTCGTCAATTCGCAGCAAGCAAAAAGGGGCTTATAAAAAAATTGTAACTTATTCGTTGACATTTCGACTTCGGTCTCTTCAGTTTGACTTCGGTCTCTTCATTACTATTGGTTTAGAATCACTCCAACTTACGTAGGATGCTTGTAATGTAGGTGCAACTGGCCAGTCCAAAAATACATGTGCCGGCTTTCAATCCGGTGCAGGGCAAATTCGCGTGCAGGTGCTGGGCATCGTGTGTAATAGGGTTCATGTAATCAGTCACCATTAGCTGGCGACACGCGAATGGTCAGACATTAATTTCCCGCTGTAAGGAAAATCTCTTTTTCCTTACTTCGCGTCCCTGCTCAACGCGTACAGCACTGTAGCACCACAGTCAGCACCGTTACCACTCGCAATCCTCGCATCGACAATCCGCCCGCCACCTTCGCACGTCGCACCCCGACCTCACGGCTCGGCGGGTAACCCGCGCTCCGGGCCTCCGCTTCGACACTTTTCCTAACCTCAGTCCCAGGCCCGTCGCGCGACAACCACAGTCCATTACCGTTACCACTGTAGTTTCGCTATATATTCTTCGCTCATGCCTTCGCTCATTGTACTCTTGCTTCGATAGTGCAATTCTTGTTCGTTCACTCAATTGCACTCGTAACACTTGGTATTCAGAGCCTACGATCTCTTCTCGGACCGCACCCACACCTTCGCTTCCCCACTATCTCAATTTTGGGGGGGGGTAGACGTCTCTCAGCGACACAGCACTGCCGCTCGTAGTGCTCTCTCGTAAGCACGCACGGCCACGACTGAGGCTCTCGCTGAGCTCGCCCGACACCCCCGCCATGGCCGAATTCACGCTCGCCACATTGACGCAGGAGCAGCTCGACCGTCTGGTGCGCCAACTCGAAGATTCGGCGCTCGAAATTGCGATGCTCACAACGGAACGTGACTCCGCGCGTCAGCAATCAACGGTGAACACTCCAGCAGCACCACACGCACCAACAAATGCACCTGCACAATCGGACGAGCCAATCGTCATCTCGTCCGGGACACCAACACAACACGACAGCGTGGGACAGCGCTCGGGCGCAGCCAGTGATAGCGCCGCCCAACCAATGACTGGCATGGGAGGAAACAGGGGCGCGCCAAGCCCGCGGGAGCCTCGCGAAGCCCGTCGGCACGTGGAGTTCGCGGCGACAAGTGGCGAACAGGCCATCATGGCACCAATGCCACTCAAGCCGCAACGCCCGCCCTGTTTCGACCCGAGCCAGCGTGGAGGTCCGACGGTTCAATCGTGGGTTTTCACGATGAACGTCTTCTTCGACGCGAATTACGTCGAGTCGGACGCAGCGAAGATTCGGTATGCCGTTTCGCTGTTAAGGGGCCCCGCCATGGACTGGTGGCGAGTCATCGTGACGTCGCCACGCGCCTACGAGCCACCGTCACAAGAGGAAGGACCCACGGGTCCAGCTGTCACCTGGAGTTCATTCTGCGAGACCGCCCAATACAGCACGTGGGATGCGTGGTGCGCAGGGCTTCGGGCGCGCTTCGAGCCGATCGCGGCTTCTATTTCGGCGCGTCAGAGATTGCGCACTTGGCGGCAGCTCGGGTCGGTTCAAGATTACACGAGCGGTTTTCTCGCACTTTGCGAGCAGGTCGGCTACATGCACGAAGCGGAGCGGGTGGACCGTTACGTCGGAGGGCTGAAGCCGGATATCTCGCACGAAATCATGCTGCGCGGACTCTCAAACTTCAACGAGAGTCTCGCGCTCGCCGAGAAAATCAACATTCTACGCCGACCGAGACCGGGGTCCTACTACGGACATCGTCCTCGGGGACCGATCGAGCACGCCACTATAAACGCTGTTGCAACGAATGCAGCTGCCGCACCGTTTAAGGGGCGCTGCTTTGCTTGCAACAGGCCGGGCCATCGCAAGAGCGAATGCCCAGAGGAGCTAAGGCGCCGCGGAGCAGAGCAGGGGAGGGAGTCTCAGAGGCAGGGAAACGCCAGCAGTCAGTAGAAGTTGGGCCAACTACTGACGAGACTGCCTGCTCGCCCAACCGCACCGACCCTCACCGAGTCACAGTACCGATTCACGCCATCGATCGGGCTCGGATGAATAAGGAGGGTACAACGACGGATTGCCCAGTACTGATCCACGGGAAAATACAGGGAGCAGCAGTGAAGATTTTTATTGACGGAGGAGCAAGCCACAGTTTAGTTAATACCGCAACTGCGCGAAAATTACAACTGACACTTAGTCGCTGCTTACCTGAGATCGACGCACGCTTAGTTGACGGCACGCCGCTGGCCATACGGGAGAAGGTGGAAAGAGTAAAAGTTCGCTGCGGGGGAAACTTCGGGTTTACACAGAAAATGCTCGCGACGACATTGGATGGACATGATGTTTTACTGGGACGTGATTGGCTACGACGGTACAACCCACGAATCG